GAATTAGGATTTGTGTTTCTGAGGATTCGAATTAGGGTTTGACGGCGAATTGCAAATCGAATTTATCCGAAACCACGTTTGTTTCGATGCTGGTAAAAGGAAGAAAGGTTTCTGGGCGGGGAGAGGCCGTGGCGGCGAACTACGCGTTCGGGCCGCTCGAAGATGACGTAATCATCAAGCACAGACTTCTCACTCGAACCACAACCACAAGAGGCGAACCCATTGAAGAAGCTCCAGAAGAAGTTCACATCCCTGTTCGTCGAGCTCGACAAGAACGAGGACAACTATGGCGACTGCGACAAGCAGGCCAAAGCTTTCCTCCAAGAGCTCAGCACCTTCGAGATTCCGTTCCTCAAGAGCAAAGCGGTTGTGGATGCGAATCTCAGAGAGAAGCACAATTTCGACGAGTTGAGGGAGGAGATAAATCGGCAGATAGTGCAAGCGCAGACTGACATTGCATTGCTGAAGAAGCAGCTTGAGGAGAGTAAAACCGAAAGAAGGCATAAGGAGGAGTGTGAGGCGATCAGGAAAATGATAGGTCCGAAACGCTCAAAATCATATCCGATTTGGAGAAAGAGATTGCCGCTTTGGACGCCGAGAACACGGCAAGTTCAAGGATGCTGGAGCTCCGAAAGAAGCATTTTGCTCTGCTCTTGCGTGTGGTATGCAGCTCTGTTAAATTCCCCAATTTTCGATTATGTTGCCTGCGTTAAGCAGTAGAACCCATTTGAAATTAGATTTAATTTGGTTGTATTTGATGTTTTTGCAGGTGGATGAGTTGCAGAACACCATAGAGGAAGAGCAGAAGAGTTTGATTGAGGAGAATGAGCACAAACACGGAATGGAGGATGCAAGTGGAGGCTCGGAACCCGTGCATGTTGATTAGAGTATACAATGCATCTCTTGGTTTTGCAGTTGGTTTTTCATGAATGGGTTTCTATCTATGCATGATCTCTCTTGATTTACAGAAACAGGAATGTAGAGTGTTGCTCTACAGTTGGAATATGTCAGCGATATTTTGAAATTCTTAATTTTGTGCAACTTGTAGATTTTCTTGCATACTGCTTCACCAAGTTCACATGATGGGTAGAACTTTGCCAGAACTTCTTTCTGGATCATTTGCAATTGAAATTCTTAATTGTCTAAACGTAATGATGCCTGCGTACATTGCATTTGAGTGTAATATTACAGTTTGCATTCAGATAAATATGGAGAAGTTGGAAATGCGTACTTATTTTGGGTAGTGTCAAATAAACTCGTGTGCTTTTCCTTTTCCGTGTACAATGGCTACTGTGGCTTTACTCAAGTGGAGAAAATGCTTTCGAAAGTACCTTAGGATGCAACATTGATGCATCACAATGTTTTGAATATTTGATTCTAGTTTTTTGAACGTAAAACAAATATATATTTGTTGTTGCATATGCTATCAAAATGCTAAGGGTTTTTTGTTTTTGTTTTTGTTTTTCCAATCACCCCAGTTGTATTTGTGTTTGCTTTACAAAGAGAAAGGTTTAACTATTGATCACCAGATAGGGTAGTGGGGAGACTAAACGTTTGCTAAACAATTCTTCCTCCATGGTAGATTTGCTTTCCCTGTTCCTCTACATTAGAGAGTTCGTATCTGTTAAGTATGTCTTTTTTAGATGAGATGAATACCCTTTACATTCATGTTTCAAGTGAGAGGTTTTTGGTTAGTTCCTGGGAAGCAAAGTGGCATAATTTGTCCTATAGCTTTGGACATCAGGAAGCAATGAAATGGGGATAGTTTGAGGCTTCGTATTGAATTTGGTTTTTATGTTCTGGTACCTTTTTTTTTTATTTCTTTATGGTTTTAGATAGTGAATAATCCATTTTACCTATGGACTGTGTATATGGATGGAGTATCACTATGCCACATGAGATTTTTTTTCTATTGGATGCATATGTGCCTCTCCTGAAATCATTTTATTTTTTTCATAACAAGTGGTGCCAAAGCCTATTCAATTTGGCATGGTTTTTCATGGTTTGGTATTTGTGAAGTCAGAAGTACAAGAATAAGATTGTAGGCTGTACTTTTAGAGGAGGTGAATGTGTTGGGACTTCCTCATTATCCAAGCATGCTTGTACTTCTTTTAGTGGTAATTGGTCTTCGAAAACTGAACAAAAAGTATGGTAGTTTTTTGTGAACTTTTTGATGAGGCCTTAATGGCTTATTGGAAGCAGATTTTTGATAACGTCTTTGAAGTCGATTTTAACGTATCGAAAGTAGATTTTAACATATTGGAAGTAGATTAGAACCATGTGCATGTTTGATAGGGTGTATTTGTTGTGAGGTGGTATGTATGGAGAGAATGTATTGAGCTTCCTCTCCGGTTTATTGTTACATAAAGAAAGAAAGAAAAACAGAAATATGAAGTACAATATAGATCCGTGTTTGTTTGCACAGGAAAGTTCAGATAAAAGACAGAGGAGAGGGAGCTGTAGAGGTGGAAAACCGCGTCACCCCACTATAGAAAGGAAATAATGAGAAGGGACTAATGTTTTCCACAACGCCGTACCGAAACTTCCTTGCTGGGATGCGTTCTCTTTATTCTCACCAAAGTGATTGTGTCCTGCTTACTGATGCCGAGGAAATTGAGCACATAATTGCTGAGTTAATGCTTGAGTTATAAGTAAGAGAAATGCTAGCAACCTTTTCTCTAACCTTCTTCTTTGAATCTTCTCTATTTTTGGCTTGACATGTGTCATTCTCCTTACACTTAAAACAATGTCATTAATATATTGTACAAGCTAACTTTTGTTTTCCAAGTTTACCCTTATTAAATGTATTCAATTTATCCAAAAAAATTTGACAATTTTCTTACAATCTTATTAAATTTTTTTTAACGTCAATTACTTTTTTTAAAGAAAATATTTGCTTTAAAAAAAAAAGGAAATGTTCTTTTTTTTTTAAATAAAAAAAATCTAAACTTGACGTTAAAAAAAGGGGACATTTCCTCTTTTTTTTTTCTTTTTTTTTAAGCAGACATTTTCTTAAATTAAAAAAAAAATTGACATTTAAAAAAAAAAAAGATGGTAGGAAAGTTGTGAATATTTTTTGGGGATAAATTATTAACATTTAATAAGGGTAAATTTGAAAAGTAAAAGTTAACTTGTATAATATATTAATTACATTGTTTTAATGTATGGAAAATGACACATGTCAAGCAAAAAAATGGAGAAAATCCAAAAGAAAATGTTAGAGAGAAGGTTGCTAGCATTCCCCATATGCGTAGATTCTTGGAACCTCTATTTGTGCTGATTTTTCTTTTCTTTCTAATCATTCTAGTTAAACCTGGCAAACGGGTCGTGTTTGCGGGTTTCGGGTCGTGTTTGTGTCAACCCGTTAAGGAAAATGGGTTAACACGACCCAACCCGTTAAGCTAACGGGTGAGATATACTAGACCCAAACACGACCCATTCAAATTCGCGAATAACCCGACATGACCCGTTATGACTAATGGATCGTGTTTTCACCCGTTTCACCCGCTTCAGCCTTTTAAAAAATAAACAATATTTTTTTAGCACATTGAAAAAAAAAAATCGAAATCTTTAAATACATCTTACACATTGGAAAACAAAAAAAACAAAAAAAAAAACTTAGACAAAATGAATCTCAAATTGAATCTTTATCTTCTGCATTTTCAGTATATGAAACACCATCCATTGAAACTACAACAAATTCCTCATCCACGATTCCCATTGGTAGTCTCAATATCTTCCATTTGCCAGTAAAACAAATAAAGAATACACAAACAAACATACCAAGACCAGCGAAAAAGGAAGACAACACAGAAAAAAAAAAATGAGCCCAACAAAATTTAAATACAGGGAAGTTCATACCTTTAGTTGGAGAGAATATCTAGAGAGAAGATGAAGGTAGCCTGTTGTTTGGTTGGTGAGAATATCTAGGGAGAACAAAAGAGTTTAGAACGTGACTTGAGAGTGAGAAAGTGATTTGGGTATGTTTAAGTCAGTGAGTGAGGAGGAGGAGGAGGAAGAGGAAGATGGGAGAAGACGCAAAGAAAAGATAGTTAGGTTAGCTAGGGATTTTATTTTATAACGTAAATTTACAAAAATACCCCTGCTCTTAACGGGTTAACGGGTCATTCGTGAATCATACTGAAACGACCTGTTAAGATAATGAGTGCTTAACGGGTTCACTCGTTATCAACTCGACCCGATAAGGCCAACCAAAATACTGATATTTTCTTACGAATCCGTGTCGTGTTAGCGAATCGTGTGCAATTGTGCCAGGTCTAATTCTAGTTCCTCAATCCCGTGCTCAGAGAAAAATTTAGGTAATTATTCGAGTTCAACCAAAGATTGACACATTCTGCTCGTTCTTTCAATCTTCTATTTATCTAAATCGTGAACAAGATTTTTCTCAAATCATGCTATGCTTAATATTGTTGATTAATTTCATTTTATGTGTAAAATTTGAGATGTGCCTATAAATTGCACTGTGGTTAACCCTATGTACCCAACATTATGTATGAGGTGTTGATATGGAAGTGGAACTTAAATGTATGACGTGTTGAGATGTGCCTATAAGTTGCACCGTGGATAGATCAAATAGTTGTTACACACTTCTTATAGTATAAATTAAATACATTTTTTTACTCTAATTTACTCACCTTCTCGACGTTTAAAAGGTGGAAGACAGAAGACACAAAGGTATCGCCGCCACCAAACTGTTTAGGAAACAAATTAAATTGAACTTAATTTGGCGGTGCTTGAGTGCTGGCCGCTTCAAGAAGTGTCACAATGGGCTTGAATATTTCAAACCTTGAATGAAGGCTTTTGTCGGTGTCGTTCTCAAAATATGTGCCACGTTGCACTAGTGGTCAATTCTTAATAAGAAAGCGTAGATAATACGCGTCTTGAACATACCAATGAAAACAGGATATGAGAAAAGGAATTAAAGTCGTATACTAGTGCTAGAATATTTTAACAAAGTCTTCTCTGACGTATACTTCCCGTACTGCCGTTGTCATGGCACCATTTTCTCCAACTCCTCTGTCTTCTTCTCTAAATATCATCTTCTTTTGCTTTAGGTAATGTCAAAGGCATCTTTTCCTCGCAACACACCATGACGAAACATTGCTCAAGCCCCTTTCTACACGATTATTTTGTTTTTCATTTTCATTATAGTCTTTGTCTTTGCCTTCCTGGAACCTCTCTCTGTGTTGATTTTTCTTTTCCATATTTCAATTGGTGCCATTGAATTACCATCTTGCTAATCATTCTAGTTCCGCGATCCGGTGCTGAGAGAAGATTTCTTTGAACCACTTTCCAATGGCATTGAGCAGCCAAAGGGCCTTCACTTCAGCTACTGCAATTTGTCCATGGAAATACGAAGTGTTTTTGAGTTTCAGGGGTGAAGACACTCGCAGGGGTTTTACTGACTATTTATACAAACAGTTGGACTGGCGAGGAATTATAACTTTCAGGGATGATCCAGATCTTCAAAGAGGGACAGATATCAATCCGGAACTTCTGACCACGATTGAACAATCAAGGTTTGCAATCATAGTTCTTTCAAGAAACTATGCTTCATCAAGTTGGTGTTTGCGTGAACTAACCCATATTGTTCAGTCCATGAAAGAGAAGGAGAGAATTTTCCCAATTTTTTATGATGTGGATCCCTCTGATGTACGACATCAACGGGGGAGTTTTGGGACTGCCCTCGTTAACCCTGAAAGGAATTGTGGTGAAGACAGAGAGGAGGTGCTTGAGTGGAGAAATGCTTTAGAAAAAGTTGCTAATCTCGCTGGCTGGAATCTAAAGGGTTACAGGTAAGCATGAAGCAACAACTGACACATAGCTAATAAGACCAATTCTTGAATATTGCATTTCAGTTTTGCCATGCACTTCTATCTACGATATATTCATATAACCTCATCTGATGATTTTTTTTTTTCTTCTACTTCTAGGTATGATACAGAGCTTATCACAGAAATTGTTGATGCAGTGTGGGATAAAGTGCATCCCACATTTTCACGTTTAGATTCCGCAGACATATTAGTCGGACTTGATACTAAACTAAAGGAACTAGATCTGCATTTAGATACAAGCGCAAATGATGTGCGCTTTGTGGGGATATGGGGGATGGGCGGAATGGGTAAGACAACCCTAGCTAGATTAGTTTATGAGAGAATTTCTCATAGTTTTGAAGGTAGCAGCTTTCTTGCAAATGTCAGAGAGGTTTATGCAACACATGGTCCAGTTCCTTTACAGAAACAGCTTCTTTCCGATATTTTGAGGAAAGAAAATATACAAGTTTATAATGCTCATAGTGGATTTACTATGATAAAGAGGTGTCTATGTAATAAAAAGGTTCTTCTCATTCTTGATGATGTAGATAAATCAAACCAACTGGAAATGTTGATCAGAGAAAAAGACTGCTTTGGTTTGGGAAGTAGAATCATTATTACAACTAGAGATGAACGCTTGTTAGTCGAACATGGGATTGAGAAGATATATGAGGTCATGCGATTAACCGAGGATGAAGCTTTTTATCTCTTTAGTATGAAGGCCTTTAAAAAAGATGACATTGAAGAGGATTATCGGGAGCTGTCTAAAAATTTCATAAACTATGCAGGAGGTCTTCCATTAGCTCTTCAAACTTTGGGGTCTTTTTTGTACAAAAGAAGTCGAGATGAATGGATGAGTGCACTAGATAAACTGAAGCAAGCTCCTGACAGAGAAATTTTTCAAATTTTGAAAATAAGCTATGATGGACTAGAGGAAATGCAGAAGAAAATTTTTCTTGATGTTGCATGTTTCCATAAGTTTGGTGACAAGGAAAAAGTGATTGAAATACTAGACAGTTGTGGTTTTGTTGGCACTCGTATTGCGATACATGTTCTTATTGAGAAATCTCTCTTGTCTCCTTCAGACATGTGTGTGCGTATGCATGATTTGATACAAGAAATGGCATGGGAGATTGTTCGTCAGGAGTCTCCTGACGAGCCAGGTGGTCGCAGTCGCTTGTGGCTTCACAGTGACATTGTTCATGTACTCAAGAACAATACGGTAAGAAGTTGCTCAAAAAATAAAATACCAAAGCCTTGGATAACATACTATAATTCCATTAAACATGATAAGCAAGACTTGATTATGACATTAACTTCACTTTTATTCCTATTTACAAGGGAACGGAAGCCATTGAAGGCATAGTCCTACGCTTGCATGAATTTGAAGCGGCACACTGGAATCCTGAAGCATTCACTAAGATGTGTAAACTAAGGTTGCTCAAGATTAATAATTTGCGCCTTTCTTTGGGCCCAAAGTATCTTCCCAATTCTTTAAGGATTCTGGAGTGGAGTTGGTATCCCTCCAAATGTCTGCCACCAAGTTTTCAACCTGTTGATCTTGTTGAACTTCTTCTGCGGCATAGCAAAATTGATCACCTTTGGGATGGAATGAAGGTAGACCTTTTTTTTTAGAGCTATTTCTTTTCAATTTCAATAAATGGTAAGGTTCTTGGAAGTTAATTAATTTAATCCACCATTTTCATGTTTTGTACAGTACATGGTGAAGTTGAAATCTATTGATCTTAGTTACTCCGAGAACTTGACAAGGACTCCAGATTTCACAGGTACTCAGAATCTTGAGAGGCTGGTTTTTGAAGGTTGTACTAATATTGTTAAGATTCATCCATCCATTGCCTCTCTCAAAAGACTAAGAGTTTTGAATTTTAAGAACTGTAAAAGCATTAAGAGTCTCCCAAGTGAAGTAGAACTGGAATCTCTTGAAATATTTGATCTTTCTGGTTGCTCAAAATTGAAAAAGATTCCAGAATTTGTGGGAGAAATGAAGAATTTTTCGAAGCTTTCCTTAAGCTTCACTGCTGTTGAGCAAATGCCTTCATCAAATATACATTCCATGGCGAGTTTGAAGGAGCTTGATATGAGTGGAATTTCTATGAGAGATCCCCCATCTTCCCTGGTTCCAGTGAAAAATATCGAACTGCCTAGATCATGGCATTCTTTCTTCAGTTTTGGCTTATTTCCAAGAAAGAATCCTGACCCTGTGAGTCTGGTGTTAGCTTCCTTAAAGGATTTATGCTTTTTGACGTGTCTAAATCTGAATGACTGCAATCTTTGTGAAGGAGCAATACCTGAAGATATTGGTTTATTGTCCTTTTTAGAAGAATTAAATCTTGATGGAAACCATTTTATTAGCCTTCCTGCAAGCATCAGTGGGCTTTCTAATCTTTGGAGCATCACATTGAAGAATTGCAAAAGGCTTCAAAAATTGCCAAGCCTTCCATCAAACGGACCACTAGATATTTACGGACCACTAGATAGTCTTGTAAACACTGATAATTGTACTTCCCAGATCCAACACCGATGTGCAATGGTGTAAGTTTTATGTCGATTAGTTCTCTCAATTGCTTCAGTTTGATTGACCATCAAGGTTCCAGTTCCATAATATTTTTAATGGTGAAGAAATTCCTTCAGGTACTTCTCCTTCTCCCTCCCTCCTCTTCCCTCTTTAGTTGTGTAGTACTATTTATATCCTTGCTTTGGTGCAGGAAATTCCTCGTTCTTTGTTCTCCTTCGATATTTTAATTCCTGGAAGTGAAATTCCTGATTGGTTCAATAATCAAAGTGTGGGAGGCTCAGTAATTGAGACACTACCTTCGGATTCTAATAGCAAGTGGGTGGGGTTTGCTTTTTGTGCTCTATTTGTACCTGCTCAAGAAATTTCAGCTACTGCTACGAAACATAATTCAATTAGTTTTTTTTGCCTTTATGATGATTTAAACACCCCTGCGGGCGCGGGTTATGTTATTCCCATAGACGATGTAGCGTCTGATCACCTTTGGTTGATCCTCCTGTCTAGGCAACATTACTATTGGGAACCAAGACACAGTCCTGAGACCTATTGGAGGGAGAAATGCCATGATCATAAGATGAGGTTTCATTTAAATGCAAGATCTCATCAAGGAGTGAAGGTGAAGAAGTGTGGAGTCCGCGCACTATACGAACAAGATGCGGAAGAGCTCAACCAAACAATGAACAGTACTGTACTGAGACAGGACCAAGCGGTATTGGTACCCTTGGCAAAGAATCACTCTGCAAAAGAATGAAAGAAGACTAATCATATCCAAATTTGGTTGGGGGAGAGAGTTCAGTCATCCGAAAGCCTAACGGGTGCATTTTACCAACAAACCATTTAAGCATAAATAGACATCTATGGAGACATCTATTTATGCTTAAATGGTTTGTTGCTTAGGCTAAATTCCACATGTGCTGTATAAATTCAGTAGGCTAATTAGTGAAGCCCAATTTGAGAGATTGACACTAACTGGGGCGTGGACAACTCTGAGATAACATGTGCTGTAAGCCCAGGTTAGGCCCTCCACGACTGGGCTCTAGTTTGAAGTAGCTGACGTCATGCTGACATCAGCGAAGTGAAATCAGATTATTTATTTTTTTAAATTTTTACCGTTGGCACGTTAAATTTTTTTTATTTTTGTCGATGACATCAGGGTGACGTCATGCATGATGCCAGCCCTAACAGCTCCCAACAGGAAGACGCCACGTGGCGCTTCTCGGACACTCCTATCGGTTTTTGTCCAGAAATATGATGGTCTTGAGTGTTTTGGTTAAAAAATTGCAAAAAATTTTGAATTTTTTTTTTTTAAAATACCCAAAAATTCTGGATTTTTTCCTTATAAATACCCTAACATTTTATTCACTTTCCACACCAAATCTTCATACAACTCTTCTCCTTCCAATATTTTTTACTCTCCACTCATATTTTTCTAGTACTTTTCATTTGTATCAAAAAACTAATGGCCACTTCTGTTGAAGTTGGGGGCGCGTGGACAACTTAGGTAGATATTGTGTTGTGTGAGTGTTGGGTGAAAGTTAGTCATTGCCTGGTCGGGAGCAATGAGATGAATTTCTGTCATATGTGGAGAAAAATTCATGGAGAATTTGCTGAAAGATTAGGTCCGCCTCGGACAGAAATGACCTTGGCCAGTAGGTGGAAAATTTTAAATAAAGAGTTAGGGAAATGGAGATATTCATTGGCAAAAGCGAAGGATAACATTCGAAGCGGTCAAAATCTTGCCGATGAGGTAAAATATTTATAATTGCGGTTTTATTCAATTTAATGTTTTATTTTCTTGCATATTCAATTATCTTTTCTTGCATTTCCAATTTATTTATATTTTGTTGCATAATCTTTTTCTTTTTTCTTGCATTTCCAATTTGTTTATATTTTCTTCCATACTCATTTTTTTTTCTTGCATTTCCAATTATTTATTTTTAATAGATCCTACAGGCACAAATGTGGTTCGGTGCCATGGGGCAAGGCAAAAAAAGTTTCATGAATCACCAATGTGGGAAGTTGTGAAGAATTGTTCGAGATTCAAAATTATTTCTACTGGTCCACCGGTTGTGTTGAATGAGATGCCGCTCCACTATTCGTTGGCAACCGATTCGCCATTGGACTCCCCAATAGATCAAGACTCACCACTCCCACGTGTGCCGAGACCTATTGGGAGAAAGGCGGCAAATGGCAAGAGAGGGAGAAAGGCGGCAAATGGCAAGAGAGGGAGCACTTTGAACAATGAATGTGCACAATTTTTGGAGCAAATAGCTAAGAACAACAAAATGAGAATTGAGAGAGACTTGAAAATAGAAGAAGCGGACAAGGTAGGACATGAATCATTTGCAATTCAAAGGCAGTAGGCACACGAACAAGACATGGAGGACAGAGAGATGAAAATCATGGCCATGCATACGAGCCATATGTCTCCTGAAACAAAGTCCTATTGGAAACTAAAACGAAGGGATGAGATTAGAAGAAAACTTTTCCATGACGACGAACCTAGCAATATGGATTGGTTAAATGATCAAAACCATTAGGTTGTATTGAAAGATTTGTCATATGTATTAATTTGTTGTATTGTTTCCCTTTTATTCAATAAAGAAAGCATTAAATAATATGACTATTTATTAAAAACATTTGCACATCAAAACAAAGTTTAATTAAAAACAAACCTTAATTTATTGCAAACAACACACAAAACAAAGCATAATTAAAAACAAAGCATAGTTCCAAACACACCACACACAAAATAAAGCATAATTCCAAACAAAGCATTTGACTTCATCCACTGTGATTGCCTTACATCTCCTATGAGTGCTCGATCAAGTCAACTTGACGTCTCTCGTGAACATATGAAGATTGCATTTCCTACTAATGATCAATCATGGGGTTGTTGTATCGACCATCCTGAATTAACGGTTCATGCTCCATTGGTTGTCCATTTGGTCCAATCGGCCTTTCATAAATTCTTGTCAACGTCGTGTTCATGGGATTGGGTTCAAACACCTCTTGAGCATCATAATCATACTCATCCTCTACAATCATGTTATGGAGGATGATGCAAGTCATCATAATGCTCTGCAGCACCTCCTCATCAAGCATCCGAGTAGCACCCCTAATAATTGCCCAACAAGGTTGCAAGATACCGAAACACCTTTCCTCGTCTTTCATATAACTTTCTTGAAAGGCAGCAAAGCTTTTTTCCTTCTCGGATTGGGGATTCGGAATTGTTTCACGAATGTCGTCCACCTAGGATAAATTTCGTCAGTGAGGTAGTACGCACCCGAGTATACGGTATTGTTGATTCAATACGTGATCTGTGGGGAATGACCTCGCAATACATCGTTGAACACTGGGGATTGACCAAGCACATTAAGGTCATTCTGAGATTCGGCAACTCCGAAGAAGGCATGCCAAACCCAAGTGTCGAATGAAGCTACAGCCTCCAGAATTATACTTTTTTGACCCTTTCGATTCTCATAATCTCCTTGCCAAGCAGTTGGGAAATTCTTCCACTGCCAATGCATGCAATCGATGCTTCCAATCATTCCTAGGAAACCTCAAGCCTCAGCTTTTTGTACAAGCCTTCGGAGGTCCCTAGCCGTAGGTTTGCGAAGGTATTCCCTCTTGTACAGATTTTCTATTGCATCACAGAATCTCACCAAGCACTCTAGGATAGTTGATTTTCTCATCCGCGCAATCTAATCCACTTGCTCTGCAGATGCCCATAAGCAAGCATCCGCAAAGCAGCTGTAAGTTTTTGCTCCGGAAGAAGACCCAAAACCCCAACAACATCATACTTCTGATTCCACTACTTCATTTTTCCTTATGCTAAAAGCCTTTTCTTTTCTTTTTTTTCTTTTTTTCAGGCATCTGTTATAACCCTTCCAAATGACTCATCAAATGTACGTTCATCCAAATAGTGACTTAATGAAATTCAAAAATAGTTTCTCAAATTTAATTTTGCTTCCAAACTAATGGTGTCATGAATTTGAGCTTAATATCATCAACCGACCTTATTTGCACACATATTCAAAGAAATTATGTTTAAATTTTTATTTTTATTTTTTGATACAAGCATATGGAGAAAAGAGGAGTTGAACTTAGAACCTTGGATGTACGGATTAATGCTCTTAAATAAGACAAAAGGGTCAACAGGATCTAGCCCAGTTGAAAGGAAAGGGCTTTGACTTTGCTGACCAATAGTCTTAGTTTTGAACCCCATGACATATTGACAGTGTGTGTGTGAAAACCCTCCACCCCCAATATCGCTTGAATGGAAAAAAAGACAAAATTATAAAACGATACTCCTACGTATATATAATTTATATAGTGGTTTTAAATTGGCCAAAATTGAGGTCCTACTTAGTATATATTTGTACCCAAAAAATAAAAATCCACAAAGACTATCCCCTAAACCCTAAACCCTAAACCCCCAATTACTATCCCCTTACTAAAGCCACAAAGACCTTAACCCGTAGACGATCCCAATTGAAGGGCCCTCCTTTTTCTCTTCCATTATTTGTTTGAGTTATTTATTTATTTATTGGTCTTATTTTATTTTATTTTCATAACTCTTAAAAATTCTGGATCCGGTGTAGTTGTAGAAGTGTTTTCCTTTGAAACACACTAAAAAACTACCGTTCGATAAACCTTGTGCAGACACAACAAACGTCATCCTTCACCGTTGGATCCCACAAACAGAATTAGGATTTGTGTTTCTGAGGATTCGAATTAGGGTTTGACGGCGAATTGCAAATCGAATTTATCCGAAACCACGTTTGTTTCGATGCTGGTAAAAGGAAGAAAGGTTTCTGGGCGGGGCGAGGCCGTGGCGGCGAACTACGCGTTCGGGCCGCTCGAAGATGACGTAATCATCAAGCACAGACTTCTCACTCGAACCACAACCACAAGAGGCGAACCCATTGAAGAAGCTCCAGAAGAAGTTCACATCCCTGTTCGTCGAGCTCGACAAGAACGAGGACAACTATGGCGACTGCGACAAGCAGGCCAAAGCTTTCCTCCAAGAGCTCAGCACCTTCGAGATTCCGTTCCTCAAGAGCAAAGCGGTTGTGGATGCGAATCTCAGAGAGAAGCACAATTTCGACGAGTTGAGGGAGGAGATAAATCGGCAGATAGTGCAAGCGCAGACCGACATTGAATTGCTGAAGAAGCAGCTTGAGGAGAGTAAAATCGAAAGAAGGCATAAGGAGGAGTGTGAAGCGATCAGGAAAATGATCGCTACGCAACCGCCTCGGTCCGAAACGCTCAAAATCATATCCGATTTGGAGAAAGAGATTGCCGCTTTGGACGCTGAGAACACGGCAAGTTCGAGGATGCTGGAGCTCCGAAAGAAGCAGTTTGCTCTGCTCTTGCATGTGGTATGCAGCTCTGTTAAATTCCTATGTTGCCTGCATTAAGCAGTAGAACCCTTTTGAAATTAGGTTTAATTTTTATTTGATTTTTTTGCAGGTGGATGAGTTGCAGAACACCATAGAGGAAGAGCAGAAGAGTTTGATTGAGGAGAAAGAGCACAAACACGGAATGGAGGATGCAAGTGGGGGCTTGGAACCCATGCATGTTGATTAGAGTATACAATGCATCTCTTGGTTTTGCAGTTGTAAGATTGTGTTTTTCATGAATGGGTTTCTATCTATGCATGATCTCTCTTGATTTACAGGAACAGGAATGCGAGAGCGGTGCTTTACAGATGCAATATGTCAGCGATATTTTGAATTTCTTAATTTTGTGCAACTTGTAGATTTTCTTGCATACTGCTTCACCAAGTTCACATGATGGGTAGAACTTTGCCAGAACTACTTTCTGGATCAATTTCAATGTAGTTAATTGTATAAGCCTAATGCTTGTGTACATTGCATTTGAGTGTAATATTACAGTTTGCATCCAGATAAATATTGAGAAGTCGGAAATGCATACTTCTTCTTTTTTGGGTAGTGTCAAATAAACTCTTGTGCTTTTCATTTTCCATGTACAATGGCTACTGTGGCTTTACTCAAGTGGAGAAAATGCTTTCGAAAGTACCTTAGGATGCAACATTGATGCATCGCAGTGTTTTGACTATTTGATGCTAGTTTTTGAACATAAAACAAATATATATTTGTTGTCACATATGCTATCAAAATGCTAGGGGTTTTTGTTTTTGTTTTTTCAATCACCCCAGTTGTATTTTTGTTTGCTTTATAAAGAGAAAGGTATAACTATTGATCACCGGAGAGGGTAGTGGGGAGACTACACGTTTGCTAAACAAGTCTTCCTCCATGGTAGATTTGGTTTCCCTGTTCCTCTACATTGAGAGAGTATGTATATGTTAAATATGTTTCTTTTAGATGAGATGACTACCTGCTACATTCATGTTTCAAGTGAGAGGTTTTTGGCTAGTTCCTGGGAAGCAAAGTGGCATAATTTGTCCTATAGCTTGGGACATCAGGAAGCAATGAAATGGGGATAGTTTGAGATTTGGTATTGAATTTGGTGTTTATGTTCTGGTACCTTTTTTATAGTTCTTTATGGTCTTAGATAGTGAATAATCCATTTTGCCTATGTACTGTGTATGTAGATGGATTTTCACTACGCCACATTAGATTTTATTTCCTTAGTATTTGTGATTGATCTTGATACTGGATGCATATGTGCCTCTCCTTAATCTTTTTATTTTTTATAACAAGTGATGCCAAAGCCCTATTCAATTGGGCATGGTTTTTCAGGGTTTAGTATTTGTGAGGTCAGAAGTACAAGAATAAGGTTGTAGGGTGTACTTTTAGAGGAGGTGAATGTGTTGGGACTTCCTCGTTATCTCCAAGCATACTTATACTTCTTTTAGCGGTAATTGGTCTTCGAAAAATGAACAAAAAGTATGGTGGATTTTTGTGAACTGTTTGATGAGGCCTTAATGGCTTATTGGAAGCAGATTTTTGATAACGTATTGGTAGTAGATTTTAACGTATCGGAAGTAGATTAGAACCATGTGCATGTTTCATAGAGTGTAGATGATGTTGTAAGGTGGTATGTGTGGAGAGAATGTATCAAGGTTCCTCTCCACATGCATTGTGAATCATGTTAAATCAGGACTGTGTACTGCCTTGACTGAAGTTTAGGTTAGGTACTCGAAAGGGTAATCAAAAAGTCAAAGATATAGACAAATGTACATTTATTGGACAGATGGTGAGGAAATGGTGATGATATTTTGTACAGTGGGTACAAAATGTTGGTTTGGGTCGAGTGAGTGATGGTTTTTTGCTTGTATGTTTGAGTTGGATGGCTCTCTCGTGTTCAGGTGGAGTGCTACATAGAAGAAAGAGGGTAGTCTTGGAGATAGAATTTGTATAAAGCTAAAGATGGTGTTTAGGAATTTTGCTGTCTGGGTCTTTCATTGTGTGTCTTTCTTTGTCATAAACTGAATGGGTAAGCCATGGATTACAGTTAGGAGAGACAAGTCTGTAAGGGTTTCGCAGGTTTATGGAGATGCAAGAGTGAAGAAATGGCACCTCTAGCTCTGATTGATCCTTCAATTGTGATATATATTGTAAGTATCAAGCTATGAGGAGATTATAACATGTTTTTATCTGTATCGTATCGTTTTTATTCTTCTTTTTATTTTTTGTTTATTAACATAAAGAATAGCCTGATTGCTGAAAAGAATTAGGAGATCAATACACAAAAAAGCTGAAATACATGAAGGATAAAGTACAATCTAGATCCTAACCCTTCTTTGCATCGTGGTCACACACACTGTGATCATTACATAGAGCCTGTCTTGTACATTGTCTAGAAATTGGAAATATGCACATCCCCATCTCTTCTTAAACATTAAGGGACCACAAACTCCCCAAAATCCCACAATGAATCCAAGCGCAAAGGAAATATAAAACCATGGGATTTCATGCCCATTGTCCACATCTTGATTATTCTTATTACCTGCATCAATCCCGTTAGTTCCCAGGCATCCATTTGGGAGGGGGGCACCACAAAGTTGCTGGTTCCCCTCAAATGCAGAGGCATTGAAGCCTTGGAGCTGAGTACTTGTTGGTATTGGTCCTTCAAGATTATTGTAGGAGACATTGAAAAATGACAAGAAATTAAGACTCCTCAATGATGTTGGGATTTTTCCAGACAAATGATTCACAGAGAGATCCACCGTATCCATATTTTTGAGATTGGATATTTGGTCTGGAATTTCTCCGGAGAAGTTGTTGCTAAGATCCAACGCATGAAGAAGCTGCAGTCTACCAATCTCAACAGGTATGCTGCAACTAATGCTATTGTTGTGTAGGTACATCGATGGCGGCAAGAAAGACAAACAGGTGTATTGTAAAACTTGTGCACCATCAGGTTGGATGAAGATAGGCAGTTCAAGAAAATTATGGTCTACTTGAGCTGCAGCTTGTTCAGATACCAACATGGGTAGTTTGCATAGCTCCTTTGGAAATTCACCAGAAATTAGGTTGGAGTCAAAGTTTATATAAAAGAGCCTTGGAAGAGTTCCCAACCAACTAGGGATTGAGCCTGTGATTCTATTAAAAGGCAAGTCCAAGACCTCTAGCCTTTTGAGCTCATATAACCACATAGGTATTTGACCAGTGAGATCACAATCACCCAAGCTAAAATTCGAAGATTTTCGAATCCGTCGAAACCAACCATGTCTTCATCAGTGGGCATTTCCTCACCTACAAAACTATACGGAAGGAGGGTCGCAAGGCTCTTGGAACCCATTAATATCTTCATTGCCCCTGTGACATTTGTCAGTTCATTGGCACCAAGCGAAAGGTAGGACAAGGATTTTAATGAAAGAATCTCAGGTTGTATTTGCCCCTCTAGATAGCCTAATTGCTTTCAGGGACTTGCTTGCGTAAAGGCTTATTGGCAAGTGACCACTGAAGGAATTACTTCCTAAGTCAAGTTTACTAAGTTGACTACGTTTGGAGAAATTTAGGGTGGAGATTTCTCCTTCGAAGTTGTTGAATCCCAGATGCAGTTCTATAAGGCTTGTGCAGTTCATCAAAGATGGGGGCAGAGAACCTTCTAAATTGTTGAAATGAAGGAGCATGAGTTTTAGTGTGGAGAGTTTCCTAGTATTTTTAGGTAGCTTTCTAATCAAGTTATTATGCTAGAGGTCGAGGACTGCAAGGTTGGTGAAATTGACAATTCTATTGCTAACAGGTCAGTTAAGCGAATTCATCGGTCAAGCAATTCCTTGAAGTGTTGTAATATAGATATCATTCGGAAGTTCTCTAGAGAGATTATTGTAACCAGCATGAAAACCCTGTAGTTTGGAACATTCCCCTAGTTCGGGAGAAATTTTGCCACTAAATTTACTCAAGGAAAAATCTAGTACCCTAATGAAGGGGGAAGAATGAAGACAGAGGACGCGATAAATCTGGTGAAGGTATTGTTGCTGACAATGAAACTAGTCAAGTTCCAAGCATGTTGGAAAGAACGAAGATGGGATTGCACCGTGGAAGCGATTGCTGCACAAATCCACAACGTGGATATTACTATTGGATGGTAGAGAAAATGGAAGCTCTTCGGAAAGAAGGTTATAGCTCAAATCAAGGATTTCAAGGCAATTCAACGACAAGAGGAATCCGATTTCAAGTGAACCATAAAGTGAGTTGTGTGAGAGATTGAGGTGGGTGAGATGTGTGAGAGAACCAAGGGAAAAGGGAAACTCACCTCCTTTGAGCCCTTTGGAGGGTAAGAGCAATTGGGTTACCCAGCCATCTTTACAAGTGATGCCTTCCCAAGAGCAACAATTATCAGAATTCCAATTTAAAGTAGGAGAAGACAGATTGAGAGCCAAGGACAGGAGAGAGCTGCGTTCAGTTTGGTTGCACGCATCGTTCGTAGATATGGTGCTAGAGAATACTAGAATTAAAAAGAAGCAAAATTGCTTTGAGTGATGAAGCTCAACTAGCATGCTTGTTCTTTGTGGAACTGCCATATTTGTTATAGATTGCTTAGAGGCTTGTATACATACATATATATACACACACACACACATTAATGTGATGACCAAACTACCAAGAAACAACATAAGAAAAGATATATGATATCGTGTAAAACTCATGGCTGCCATAGAGGATAAATAAAGATGTCTACCTCCACAAGCTACTGGAAATGTTGACATAAAATCTTAATTAATTGAGTAATTTCTTGGCAGGTAAACCCTATAATGTATAAATTGCAAGCCCTTCCACTTCCCAAATGCCACTAGAACATGGTTACCAGAGAAGTTCTCGGATAATTGTCCTGTGATATATATGCATATATGTATAGATTATGCTTTCGCATGTCAAAAATTCAAAGTCTTGCAAAAACTTCAAAGTGCTATTTGATTCTTTAATGTTTGAGTTTTTGACTGGAAATGGTGGCGAGAGCAACGTAACAAGGACATTAGTGATTAATTAGGACTACACGGAAAGGACTGGACTCTGTATAATATATAGATAAATTGGCCTTGAATGCCTTTTTTTCAACGTATGTGGTCCCTACGTACTTTAGTTTTCATGCCATCTTTGACAGCATATTCTTACATACAGTTCAATGGCATAATCTCTACATGCAGAAGCTCGGGATCCCATTTGGACAACTAACTAGAATCAAACAAGTAGACTATGATAATGATAAAATAGTTAAATACTTTCAGTGAGCTGACTTTTTTAGGGATGATTTCTGAAGGGAATTGATATTAGCACTTCAAAATAGTGATCTTGCACTCCTTTATATTTTATTTTTTAATTAAAAAAGAGGAGTGCATAATATCCAACAACAAAAAACTGCTAATAACATCTCCCTTTCTAAATGGAAAATACAAAAATAGACATTTCAGATTACTGAACTAAACTACACATTACTTTTTTTTTTTTCTTTTTCTTAAAGGTTTGGTGGAGTAGAAAGAAAATTCAAGGCTATAATTCTTTTTTCCTATATTTTTGTGGGAAGGCCCTCTATTTTGCGCTTACATTTTAACAATATATTGGCCTTTCAAGTAACGTAGACATGAAATATTTCTAGTTTCATTGTTAATGACTAGTGACACTTAGGTCTTCCCTTAGTTGGAAAATATGTTAAAGGTCACAGGATAAAAGAACATTCAGCTCCATTTGGTACACCATGCAGTTTTGAGGCTTTGAGGAGGACCACGGGATATGGCACAACTATTTCAAACACTCCAAAACAAAAGAAGCCCAAATCGAGAATCAAAGTTGTTTGAAACGAGTCATTCTATAGTGAGGGCATTATCAAACTTGGAAAAAAAAAAAAAAACTAGCCAATTTGAACTAACGACTAAGAGATATGACATCATTCAAGGACCTTAGATAAAGCCCTTGTTATAGAATTCTACTAATTGAAACCCATCATCATAAGTTAGTTTGGGCTCATCTCCACATTCATATTTACAAGGCTTTTTCTTTATTGTGCTGGAAAGGCCACTGCAGTTTGTACTCGAAGGAATAGTAAATTCGAGTTTTGATTTGGTACTACTTCTGAAAGCATTTGGCATACTAGTTTAGAAGCGTTTTTGTGGACATAAAAGCGTTTTCTAGAGGTGTTCTTTTAGAAATCACTTCCAAGTCCCTTTCCAATAAACACTTGGATTTTTTATATATATTTCAACGTACTTAGGGCTTGTTGGAGGAGCGATTGTGGAGAGACCAATAATCACTGCTATGGAGAATCATTTTACCTTATATCCGTTTAAGGGCTTGTTTATGAGTGATTTTTAGAGGGCGACAATCACTTGTGGGGAGAAGCAACTCCAACATGCATCTCCATATAATCACTTTAAGTGGATTTAAACGATTACGGGGAAAAACACCTCCTAGGCGCTTCTCTATAAAATCAATTAAAACCACTTAAAATGATTGTTGACCTATCTAGAACTAAAATTACTCCCACACGAGCCTTATAATACAAGCACCCCTACAAAAATCACTTATATGAGCACAAGTGTCTTCTAAACTGCCCTAAAATTATCTACCTTTGGTAACGAGATGCATGTACTTTTCTTTTGTATTTTTTTGTGATTTGGGCTGAAAAAAGAAGACATGAGCTCTCGTGCACACACAAAAGTGTGTTAAACTGTCTAACTCCTTTTTGGAAGTTGATCCCCTTGTTGAATTCAAGGTGTATTCCACTATAATCCAATTGAACTCGATATGGATATGACAGGCCTAACCCACAAAAACATCACACACACCATGACCAGTAGTGTCCATATTATATTGTGGAGGCAATGCAGTCCCATCCCAGCGAACTCTCACACAGTGGTGAATTTGGGGCAACAGAAAGACGTGAAAGGAATTAGGTTGGTTTTATTTTTGTCCAACATATTGCATATGCTACTAGCTCAATGTTACCATTACTTGTTCTACATGCAGCTCCAGATCAAAGTGGGCCACCGCATGAAACACTAATGCTACGATAATGTTGCTACAATCGACCACCCAAAGGAAAGGACTTTCTTTTTTAAGTATAACCTAAACAGTGAAACGAAAATGAAAGACTTCGTATGAGCTGAATCCCATTTTTCACTATTTTCCATTCCATGCAAAAAAAGTATATGAGTAACTATACAGAGTCTTGTTTTATTTTGTAATCTTTTATCTTTTAACAAGATGAAAAGAGATGCACAAAATATAAGTTTGGAGAAGAAGAGTGATTGAACGGAGAAGAGGTGCTTTGGTTTTGAGAGAAAAAAGAGTTTGGTTCTTCGATGCTAAAGGGAAAAGAAGACCCAAGGGAAAATCTACATGCATGATTTATAAATGATAAGGCATGATTAAAGAAAAAGTCACGCATAACTTAATGAATACATAATAATTAAATCTATGATTTCATAACGAGATTAAATCCATAGTTTCACAACGAGAGTTTGATTTCGGAAATAATGTGGTAGAAAGAGCGTATTCTATGAGTATATATGTTAGATATAACCAAAAAAGAAAGATTTAGATTGATATCATTCACCCATTGTTTGGGATAATGATTTAAATATACTTTTTTTGCTACCTAATATCCAAAGTTGTTGCTTGGCCATGATCAGGGAGAGATTTTGGCTTCAAGTAGAGAAAACAATTGGATGGTCCACTAAAAGAATTAAAACACAGACATTCAAAAAAGCTTCTTTGGTACGTTGGCTGTACACAAAACAAAAGTCATTTATTGCTCCAAATAGGGTCATAAAAAAGCCATTTGAGTGGGATTGTGGGACGCTGAAAAGAAAGGACGAGAGAAGATAAAGAACCCTAATTCGTTTTCTTTGACTCAATATAAAATCAAGGTGGTGGTGGCATTCGTATGGAATGCACACTCCCTCCCATTTTCTTATATTATCCAAACCCCACTCTTTCTTTATCGACACTCAGTGCTTTCTTCTTCAGCAATCCATTGCTCAACTTTTTTTTAGTAGGTTCTTCAGCAATCATACTTAGTATAAGTTGGTGTTCTGTGGCGTACATATGATAGGAATTTATTAATCAAATGGTGGTGCAAAAGAATATTACAAAGCAGCTAATGAATATACTGCTGACATGGGAAGAGGGTTTACACAAATATCATTGGGTGTCTACGGTTCGAACCTCTACGTACCCACATGGGTGGAGGTGGAAGTGGAAGAACTCAACCAACTGAGTTATACTCTGCTGCCATTTTCACATACTAACATGTGTACTAACACATCTTTCTTGAGCCGATTTGGCGACTCTTGATTTATTGGCATTGAAGAAATTTTGTTGAACTTCTATTACGATAATCGATGATTTCGATTAATTTGGCAAAGCCTTATATTGAACTCTTTTACTAATGGACACTCTTGATTATCATATAAGTCATATGAAACCGACAATCTGATAGTATAACATTCAATCTATTTACTCTTTTATTAACATTTGTTTCATTACGTGTGCTTACTATATATAATGTTTTTAGTATTTATGAACAGATTGGAACTTCTTTCTTTTTGGTTGGCACAAATTTGGTTTAACTCTGCAGCGCATGTGTATGAGCTAACATGTACAAATGCCACTGATTTGATGTCTATGGGATCAGGAAGTAGTTTAGAATCCACAGAAAATTGGGTCAATTACATTTTATATGTAGGATGCTTCTGGCAAACCAAGTCATAGAAACCACGTCCACTTGATTCTTTCAGCTAATATACCAAAATATAAACTATATAATAAGAAGACCATAACCGAAAGAGTTAGAAAAAGACATAAAGGGAAGGGAAAGCCTTGAATTATTGCATCCGTTTTGATAACCATGTACGAAAGATTGCATAAGGGTTTGTCTTTCCAGCTTTTGTCTGGTTCCATAGTCACGCTTTGCTCATGAACTCGGTTTATTTTTTATTTTTACAGGTGTAACTGCTTAAAAGTATATGTCTTTAATTTCCTTTTACGTTCCTTATAATCTTGGTGATCATAAAGTTGTTTGTGTTCCTTCTATTATTCTTCTTGCTTATCAGTTTTATTCCTCTGATCACATTCGTCTGTTCTAATTTCCGATCTTGAATTTCTTCTTTATTTTTTATACAAGCGATAGTCTAAATTAATCTACAAATAGGGAGATTTGAACATGAGTGCAAGAAGACGGACTCAATATCATGATCAACTTGCCTAACCCACATCTGCATCTTTAATTTTTCTTCTTAATTTCAAATATTAGAAGTATGGAACAATTGGCTCAAAGCAAAGCTGGTCGAGATCCACAAGCAATCTCAGCTCAACTTTATTCGGCCCTCAATTGTTTTATCAGCTATATTAAATCGATCTATATTACAATATCGTTCTTTTTTCTTTTTCTTTTTCTTTTTAGGTGCTACCTTTTTTTTTCTTTTTATCCTCTGAAGATATTGAGCATTCATACATTTAAGGTCAACACCTAGTAGGATTTGCATCACTAAAACTTTGAGCATTGTCGTGGATCACTTGTATAAGAGAACAAGGTATTAAGGGTATCTGCTTTTAAATTATATCTTTCTAAAAGTTTTTATTCCCATATTTAAAATCAAAAACTTAAATTAATGATTTCTACTTTCACCCTTTTTATTTTAGAATGTTTTTCCTTCTATTTATTTCATCTTTCTCAGATGATATCTCAGTTAAATTCATGCTAATAGGGTTTCACTCCCGTACTGAATTAGTGGACATATCATATGAATTCCACTTTCTACCAAACTACGACGCAAGTCTCGGCCATTTGACCACCAAGGCATTTAGTCAAATTAACTAATTATTTTTAAAATATTATTTTTTTAAAGGAAGCAAAAATAAACACACTTGTTCTTTGCTTTTTTTCCCATTAGTGGCTATCCCCCACCTTTGCCTCCCCCATAATTGAACCTTTTCCACCATAAATACCTTACTTGAGTGCGTGTGTCCTCCACACTTCTCAAATCTCTCTCTCCCTCATTTCACAACAGCATACCCATAATCCTTAATCCTTCCCCGTTATCCACTTTTCTCATTCATTTTTCCATGGCGCCAAACAGCCAAACATCCCTTAACGAAGGCAAGTATGCCATCCCAATCACCACAAACGACCTAGAACACCAACAATCCCTAGATCAAAACGAGTTCGACTACTCAAAACGCTCCCAGTGGCTTCGCGCCGCCGTCCTAGGGGCCAATGATGGCCTAATCTCAACGGCTTCGTTGATGATGGGCGTGGGAGCTGTCAAGGAAGACATCAAGGCCATGATCCTAACTGGGTTCGCCGGACTAGTAGCCGGGGCATGCAGCATGGCCATTGGAGAGTTTGTCTCTGTGTACTCCCAGTTGGACATAGAGGTGGCTCAAATGAAAAGGGACAATCAGAACAAGCAAAAGACTCTGGCACACGTGGCGGAAGATGGTGATAGCGAGGGAGACAACGAAAAGGAGAGCCTGCCCAACCCGTTGCAAGCTGCGGCTGCTTCAGCTCTTGCGTTTTCAGTAGGGGCAATGGTCCCATTGTTAGCAGCTTCGTTCATAAGGGAGTATAAGGTGAGGTTAGGAGTTGTGGCTGCAGCTGTGAGCTTGGCTTTGGTGTTGTTTGGGTGGCTGGGGGCAAAATTGGGGAAGGCACCAATTATGAGATCAATGATGAGGGTTTTGGTTGGAGGATGGATGGCCATGGCTATAACCTTTGGGTTAACCAAGTTGATTGGCTCTAGTGGGCTGTGAAACTCCTTGATCTCACATCCATTGTAACTGTGTTATTACATGTTTCATCTTTTTTACGTTCCCTTTTTTCTACTTTTGGTTTTTGTGTAATGAAAGATGACAAGATGTGTATAGGGAGTGAGTTTTGCTAATTTTCTTGGTGTAAGTTGAGTCTTAAAAGAAAGGAAACGCATAGTATTATTGGGGAATAAAAGTACTAAAGATCACGCACGTAACTGATCATATCTTTTATTTTGAGGAATGTAAGTGGGATTTCCCGTGGCCTCTTTAATTTAATCAACAAAGAACTTATTCTAATACACACTATCAAATCAAATCAAATCAAGGTTTGCAACCTGAAATCACTAAATTTACAAGTTAAGACGCTTTTTCACTGGATGAGATTCGCTGTCTCCATTTTCCATGTCCCTTCGTATCCCTTGTATAATTTTTTGACACGTGTCCAACAACTTAACCCTAACATAACACTGTTAACTTGAATAAATTAGAAAAATAAAAACTAAACATTAAAAGAATAAATATAACCAAACAGCCACCAGTGTCCAACCACCTCACCCGCCACAACCCCTTGTCCTCCTCACTGCAGACCAGCCCTCTCCCGAGTCTCTCTCAATCTCCTATCTATGGCAACCTCACAGGTCTCACATCTTGGAAGGCTTGGGGAAAATGTCAGGATATTGCAATCCTTATGAAAGCAATTTGTGGGTTGATCTTCCACATTGGAACCTTCACAAAGCCATCACTCTTTGAAGAAAAGTTGTACCTGGCTTCCCTCCTTCACGTGGCCATGAATTCCGGTTTAAGAGTTTAGAAATTTTTTATCTCTCATACATAATTATATAATCAATAATTAATTAGGGTAGAGGAAAATTAGAAACCCTAAAACCTCCCTTTTATTGAGATCAACGGTGAAATTTATGTCATCAAATCCAATTTCTCCAATTCCACTCAAAATATCAAAGGAAAAAGTGGTGAATTTTTCAAACTTTAGAGAAGGTGGAAGGTTTAGGTGCAAAGTTGATATAGACAAGTCCGATCTTTGTGATTTCTTTAACGGCATCGGTGTTCAAGTGCTCTATCATCAACTCCAACGAGCTTGACATAGGGAAGGAGGAGGGGATGAGGTTGGCCGGCGAAGAGGAGGAGAGGCAAATGTCGTCGGTCAGATGGATGTTATATTAGGGTAAAGTATAGGCACATGTCAAAAAATTATGCAAGGGACACGAATGGGCATGGAAAATGGGGACAGCAGATTCCGTTCCCTTTGTCATTGAGCTAAATTCCGTTGGCCTCTTTATAGTTTAGACTATCATTTTGTATTAAAAAAAAACATTTGAAAGAAAAATAGCACCAAAAAAATGTCATATATTTAATATGTTGGAGGTTGTTATTATGAGTTCCAATTTTAGAAAGAGAATAAATATTAAACTCAAATAATATATTTAACATGTTGTGGAGGTTGTGAGTTCAAAATTTATGGATATATACAAATTGTTAAATAAATAAAAATGTATGTAGCCTTACTTTTAAAGAAGTGCAAGTTTGCCCACTAAGCTCCCCTTAAAAAAATTTGACCAATAAAGTTACCCAACTTTTTAATTTTGTCATACTCAATGTGTTTAAAAAACAAAAACAAAAACTTCAAATTTGTATCAATCATCATGTCCCTCAGATGAAGGGTGAATGTTCGTATTTTTTATTTGGAATTTTCACTTGGAACGTATTTTAATATTGGTAAGTAACTGAGACCTAATTCGTATTTTTAATTATTTCCTGTTGTTTTTGTTAGAAAATTTTAGGGGATATGCCTCTGACTCAAATCGGAGACACATCTGCAAACTTTGTAACTTACCAGTTCACAAACTACAAGGACACATCTATAAACTTTGTAAATTTCTCCTCGTCTTCTTCCATATCCACTTGTCTCAATCAATGGGACAAATAATCATCACGATATCCGGCACATAGTGTCGCCAACAACACAAAAGTTTTGCTAATGACGATATATATATATATGACGTAGTGGGTAGGGAAAAGGTAATGACTCGACTATAACCGAAAAAGCACCAATTGCATTATTGCAGTATGGGAAAGCCTCGAGTCTTTTGTTTTGATGGATTATGTAGGAAATTTGGGAACGATTTGGAAAAAGCAAATTTAGGTTTTAGCCATAAAAAAACTTTCACTTTTGGAAAAACATGCCACCTCCATATATATAGGATGGTAATTGTTATATGGGTAACTTGAGTCCTTTTTTATCCTCACTTGACACTACAATATCATTAATATTAATATCATTGAATTTTTTACGAGTGCTACTAAATTAACCCTAAAATTAACTGAGTACACCCAGGAACGGACTCACGTTTGAGCAAAAGTGGTCAACTGACCCCATAACGCCGGAATTCAACACTTGAGTGAAATTTGTTGACCCCTGCAAACGGTGCAGCAGCTATGGTTGCCATGCAATGTAAGCTATGTTTGGCGCCATCAATGGCTAATTCCTCTCGAAGAAGAAGACCCAACCCTGACTCAGCTTTTGCTTTCCTTGAACAATGTCGGATTGAGATGTGTGGGGTTTTTTTCATGAAACGATGTGTTTCGTGTAGTCTGGCTCATACAATAAAGACACCACCGTTTGGTTTGTAAAATCCCCTATTTGACCAAAACTCTGCCTTCTGATTAAATTCCATATAATCCCTACCATCTTCTTTTCATTCATCCGATAGAATCACTGCACTTAGCCTATATTTTAATGTTCGGAACCTTGTCACTTCTGAGGTGATTTATTTCTAACCACAATATATATATATATATATTGTATAAATAAATAAAAGTTCTTTTTAGTTGTTTTATATTTTTCTTAATTAAAATAATTTGTCAAAAAGCTTACGTCTCAATGTCTTGAGGCTTAGGCTTCGCCGCGCGGAACCAAATGAGATATCAATGATAGTGTTAGCTTGGTTGTTTCTATTGAGAAATATGATTTTGCTTGTATTGATAATCAAATCATAATACGATGTTTTCATAATATGAAAAATTATTGTAGATTAATGTAGTTTGTATAAATTATGAATGCTAATACTATCGATTTATTTTTCAAGGGTCTTTTTTGTCTGAAAAAAATATGTGAGCTTTTACAAGTGATTGTAAAATTATTTTCATATTATGAGTTTTACCTAATTTACATAAGGCCAATGCCTAAAAAAATACGATGTAATTTTACAAAAAAAATACCTCAAAATTACAAAACTATTATTAAATGCCGTCAAATTTTATTATTTCATTTAAACTCAATCACAATAACTGCAACTGCACCATCAAACTCAATAAATGACAGTTGTCCTAAACCAATGCCAAAATTTCACAAATTATACAAATATAGGCCTTTACAAACACACATGAGTTTTACTTACTGTATGGGTGGAAATATGAAAAGAAAACATAAACTAGCTGCAAATTAATGCATGTCATTTTCGTTTTTATAGAAAATATATAGTTCACTACATTCAAAAATCACTTTGTAAAATTTCTCCCTTCCCTTCCAATCCCAATCCTGGAATTGGGGCAAGTATTTTCCATCATGGCTAACTAGTTCCAACTTCTGACCAAGCAAGCCATCTAAAGAGTTTGACTGGTATATATGAACCAGACAAGAAACAAAAGAGTTTTAACTTGGAAAATTAGTTTAGTTAACATAAAGATGGGTACTCAACACAAGTTCAATCAAGGAACTATCCCAAAATGACACACTCCTCTCCAGAACATCAATGAATTGCCAAAGTTTAGGCTCATTATTTCACCCTCAAACTAGAAGCCATTAGTATATATATTATACATTATGTGGGAAGAAAAACAAACCAACCTTTGATTTTAAAGATCCTCTGTAGATAACTAATTTTGAAGTCAATGTCAATTGACTTAACCTATAATGGTCTATGTTTTGTCAAGGTTTCTGATACTCGAAACAGTAGACAATTATCTGTAGAAACATTTCAAGCTAGGAGAGTCGTGAGAAGGCACAGCTAAAATTTATATATTTGGCCTTCTATATACTGCAAGATGCTAAGTGATAGGAATACAAAGTAAATAAATCATCATAGAGAAAGGGAAAATTACAGTGGTTGTGCGTGTGGCAGGAGGTGAACATGCCTTCTCACTTGCATCCTTAATTTCTGGTATTAATTCTCGTTGAAGGTGCAGCAGTTCCAAATTTCATTGTCCACAAATGCATATTAATTTCACAGTGATTTTTTTATCAAAGGCAATCCTTCGACAGTAAATTAACTATAAACTCCGTTGTTGATGCATCTGCAGAAAAACCCTTCTCTACCATTGTTTGAATAAGTACCATCGCCATTGATGTCTGTTTATTATGGATGAACCCTCGGATAATTGTGTTATAGGTGCAACCATCAGGAGGACAGCCTTTCTCCTCCATTTGGATAAGAAACTTTTCTGCTTCACTTGTTAGGCCTGCAATACAGAGTCCATTAATCATTATATCGTATGTCCTCACATCAGGTCGAAGTCCTTTTGATGATAAACCACAAAAGAGATCCCTTGCAGATTCAATTTTTCCAGCTATGCACAAACCTTCAATAAGAATATTGTAAATCACAATATTAATATCCAACTTCTTTGCTTCTATCTCTCCAAACAATTGCATTGCCCTAGAAAGTTGTTGGTTTTTACACAGGCCATCCAGTAAAATAGAATAAGTTCGAAAATTTGGAAGTTGGCCACAAGCTTGCATCTCAGAGAACAACTTTTGTGCATCCTGTATTCGACCTACTTTGCCAAAACCATCCAAAAGAGTGTTATAGGTAAAGGTATTTGCAACTAGTCCCTTATGAGACATATCCAGAAAATGCATCATGGCCTCATCTATTTTTTTAAGCTTACAGTATCCATTTATCAACGTGTTGTAACTAACAACATTAACCATCGAGCCCTTGCTAAACGTTAGTTCAAAAACATTTTGTGCCTTGCCTATTTCTCCTCGCAAACAGTAACCATCCATGAGTGAAGTGTACGTAACTGCATTAGGATCAATATCTCTTTGAATCATCATCACAACCACGCCTTTTGCTTCTACAACCATTCCCTCCTTACAAAGTGTGTCTACCAAGACGCTGAACATGAACACATTTGGAAAGATATTTTTACTCACCATTTCATTCAACAACCTTGTAGCTTCTTTCCACTCTCCTAATTTGCAAACTCCATTAATCAAGGATGTATAGGTAATGACATTTGGGGCAATAGCCTTGCACATCATTTCTGAGAAGAGGTTTAATGCATCATCAACTAGTGTATCCTTACAAAGACTGTCGATGATTGTGTTATAGACAACTAGGTCAGGCTTGCAAATCCCTTCCTCCATCTTCCTAAGCAATTGAATAGCTGCACGGTTGTTACCCCTCATGCAAAAGCCCTTTACTAGTGTGCCATAAGTAACCACATTAGGCTGACAATTATCTCCTGCAATCATTTTGTTGAAAATTCCTGCCGCCTCCGCAGCTCTATTCTCGAGAAGATAGCCGCTGATTAAAGTGTTGAAAGTAATGACATTTGGTTCAAGACCAACTTTGAAGATTTTTCCCCAGGCAGATAAACTAAAACCCATTTGGTTCAAATGACAATAACAATTAATGACAATGGTTAGGTTATAAACATCATGTCCAATTCTCGACACACCCATTTGGTTATACAAGGAGATGATGGCCGAGTAATGTTTCAATTTTGCAACTTGACCCAATATTTGATTGAAACGAACAACTGAAGGCCGAGGACGCATTTGGAGCATTCTATCAAACACATTGAAAGCATCCTCAACATTTGTGATTTTGGGTGAGTCTCTCCCTGGCTGGTCTAGTTGGGTTCTTGTAGATTTGATTTGTTTCGAAGGTTGAGAGTGAAAGAAAGCAAAGTAATTGTTGTCCAAAACAACAAGAGTAGAGTTAGAGTGAAGACAAGGCATACCTCTCCATCTCCGACTGTTGCAATAAAAAGAAGCAGCAGCTATATTCCGCATCATCATCTTCAGCATCTCAGTGAGTCAGTGAGTCAGTGAGTCTCAGCCAACCTTCAACATTTGGGAAGCGATATCAAAAAAACTCCACATCCATCACACCTTCGACATATTTCCTTTGTAAAAGATGTCGTACTCATCAACTTCCTGGAAATAATTTTATATTGTTCAAAATGACAAGTTATATATGGGATATAGCAAGTATTTAAAATGACAAGTTACATAGTACTTATATTTAGAGAAGTGGCGTGATGGATGTGGAGTTTTTTTATAAGCACGACATGTATGTTAATCGATTCCTTTTTCCAGTCCAAAATGTATAAATCAAATACTTTTTAACTAGATATGCCATCAAGAAAAATAGGAAAATAATAAAGAAGAAAAATAGGAAACAATCAGTCTCTCATCGGGGCTGGATACAAGGCCTAGTCTTCAATAGTCTTCAATTGCAGGTTACTGGACTGGGGAGTTGGCGTCTGAAATACTTTGGGACTTCCACTTTAATCCATCGGCAACAAGGCGGACGCATCAACCATCAAATTTAAATTTACTGTTTGGTATTGCTGTTTGGTATTTGAGAGAATTGTGTTGCATTATATAGCCTAGTACATCAAATGCATTAAAACCCTACGCAAATTTTAAATCCAACTTGGTCTCGCTAATTAGCACCACTACTGATAAGAACAAACACAATGCCTTTCGCCTAAAAGGATATCCTATGCCTATCTTGCAACATTTGAGGAAATATCAAAATGAGAGTAAAGAGAAATGGAGCCAAATCTCATTATCCGCCTATTTGACCCCAGTTTTAGCCTCATGTTGGATTATTAATTTTTGTTTCTTACATCTAAAATGGTGACGAGGAGCAAAATAACATCCTAAAGATAGAAACAGCCAAAAACTTTTCATAAGACGGTTTGCCATCGATAGAGCAAAAATGAAAAATAAAAGAGTCATGTCTCTTGAGGTTTCCTTCAAGTATATGTATTTTATCATCAGCAAAACAAGGGATAAGATGCTTTTCTTGCCATTTTGCTAGCTTCTTCGCTGTCGATTTTCAGCTCTTTCCCGAGTTTTACCTGCCAGCCCAGTAGGGTTTTGAAGAGGACACAACTAAGCTGGTTTGCCATGAAAATTTCTATGTTACTCTTCGAAAGCGAGCTCACGTGCACCTAAAATACACTTTCCATCAACAGACTTGTAAGGTGGGTATTATAACCTATAGAGACTAGAGTTCCAAAAAGATACGGGTGCAAACTACAAGGACAAAACAACGTAGTGTAACCTAACATGATAAAAAAATCAGAACAGGCCCAGCTTTTGACTCTGGAAAAAGGACCTCATGGAAACGCGTGCTGGAACTACTTTTGCTCCCTCTCCACTCTCCACATATGGCATTTGAACTTGAATGCCTAAATGTATTGGTGTCGCTTAAAGATCAAAAATCTTTCCACAAGGAATCTCCTGATTGCCGCTGAAGTCAGTAAAGCCCACAAGTGTCGTTATAAAAGAACTGCTCAGGTATCGCATCAGCTTCACTCATGGTATCTCGAAAAGTTTCTTCAATTTCACAACCAGCTTCCATTCGTCAATTGATAGCTCATCCTGAATATTTAAAATTACAATTAAGAGCCACAGTTGACATAGTCCGAAAAGTGAACTGTACATGAAATTTATGCTTACCCGGTAATTTGCTTTTAGTATATCAATCGACCTCCTTGAGATATGACTGACAAGTTCATCTTCAATTTCAAAATGCCTACCAAACATCTTTTGCTGTTCATCAGAATTTGTCCCAACTATCTGCAAAAACACAAAGAAAAGACTGCGATAAGCACTATGCCAAGTAAAGTCAGAAGCAGACAGGAACCAGATCACCCATAAAGCAAAGATGAGCATGGGTCAAATGCGAAAAGCCAACAAATAAAAGTAAAAGCGAAGGCCATTAATGCATCAAAGGACTAGTTGCAAAATCAGAATAGTGCTTCAGTAGGACTTAACCTCAATGGAATCAAAACCCCCCTCCCCTTCTCTCAAAACAGTAGTTATAACTAGCTTGATGATCATAGGGAGTTTTTAACTGATGTCTAGAAATTCTTTTATGCCTTTCCTTCCAAATGGCATACACAGCTTCCAAAAGGCAAAGTTCTTTTACAAGAGTTTCCCTTTTCATTGAGCTACAGCCCCAATCAATGAGCCATGACCATGGAGTCTATATTTTCAAATTACTTAAGATTCTAATATTAAACGACTACTGAACCCTGTGAAAAATTTAAGTTGCGCGGAAAATATGTGAGCAGTTACTTGTAATACATCAAATAAAAGAACTTACACTTCCAATGATAATATCGAAAAGTATCAATCAGTGTATAGCTTTGCTTTGTCATTGCTCATACAAAAGCGCATTGATCTAACAAAAACCTATTATCTAGAACCCACTATTCATAACAAAAGTCATAAAGCCCTATAATTTTTGACACGGCAACTCCATATATTTACCCGAGGCAAGAACAGCAACAACTACAAAATTGAACTTTTCCGACTAGTGACACGTGAGAGAGAGAGAGAGAGAGAGAGAGAGGGTGAAAATACGTATACATACAAATGTCAAAAGTTATCATACCTTAATGGCTACCTTCAGCCCCTTCTTTGCTATATCAACAGGTTTGTGGTTATTTTCAATGGATGCAATTCGCCCAATAGTAATAAAATCCCTTTGCGGAATACAAATTGGAGTCCCAACCTGCACAAAGATCACATAATATAAAGACAGCCAGATTTAATTAACAAACATTTAATTGATCTTATAAAATAACACTTTCAAAAAGTTCATGTGAAGGCGCTGAGCACTATCTACACCCCGGAACATAATACACATGCTTTGAAGGATTGAGGAAAGTAACACATGCTTTGAAAGGTGAAGGAGTGGAACTTATTCATATTAAACCAAAAATAAACTCGCAAACTTTGATCATACATGATTCAAGAACAAGTATTAATAAAATGGAGAGAAAAACTTAGGAAAAACCAAAAGAGCTAGCTCTGGAAACATCAAATATAATTTACCAGCATCTGGGGATGAACTTTCAGTGTAACAATATCTAGAATGTGTACTAGTTGTCTGGTATTTCAGATGATAAAGCATAAATACCACACAAACTAAAATTCTCATGAATTTTGAAAATTAATTGTTTTTTTAAGTGCACATTGTTTAAACAAAATATATTGCATGTGAAAGTGCATGAGAAACCTTCTGAGAAATTCCACTAATTAATCCAAGATAGTAGTCGGCAATAAAAGGGCTTTCCCGCTCAGGAGTTACATCCTTAGCAGCGCCAAATAATGAAAAGGGGAACCAGCAAAACATTGGCAGGTTCCACAGGAACACTCAAGCTATTTCAGCAAGATTGTTTCCACTGCCTACTTTAAACATTCAACAACTCTAATAACTCATTCGGTGAAAATTACAGACTATCCTTCTACTTGGGGCAATTTTCAACATTGAGGTCTCAGCTCAAGTTTCTAAGCAAAATAGAAAGAAAAAAAGAATCTAGAACAGAAATAAAAAGAGACAGACACAAATTAAGATGGTAAAAAATTAACCAAACACTGCTAAACAGTACCCTGAGAATAAACACAATGGGCTCTTCCCAAATGTATAGACATGTCATGCCAAGATAAACCTAAATTTCAGACGGTATATCCCACTAAAGAGAGCAAGGTGAAACAAATTCAATGTATATAATAGTACCTTCGCAATGCCTTCCAGAACATCAACTCCCAACACAATTGGATCCTTCTTGTTGAAAACACAGTTGGGTAAAATCTTGAGCACACAGGGAAAGACAGCTTCATCAGCAGATTCCTTTTTCTTTTCCTCCTTGAGATTGTCAATATAGGCCTTAAATTGATCGAATAAGTGATAGATGATATCAGCAATAAAAATCTTCACACCTAAATCATCTGCCATTTCCCGGGCCTCTGGTGTCACTTTGACATCAAATGCCAGGATGGTGGCATACTCCTTTTTCTTTTCGAGCATTACACTGGCCTTCATGACGTCCTTTTTATGTACGGGGCCTATGCTAATACCACTAACAGGAATATTAACTTCTGGGGTCTTCAAAAACTCTAGCAATGCTTCCAAGGAGCCTAGAGTAGATGCTTGTACACAAACTCCCTCCCCACTCTTGTCAATCCTGTTCAAGACTGACTTCATGTCTTCCATAGCTGCTTCCTTCACCTCTTCCAAGTCATCACGAGGCCCTACCACATATAGAGCAGTGCCAGCAATAGCATGTTCAAGACCCTGCAGATAACAAACATCAAAAATCAAAAAAATCTAACAAGAGGAGTTTACAACTAGTAGAATTGGATTGGCCTTGATTTCAACCAAAATTACCTGTGCTGTGATCTTGATACCCTGTGCAGCCTTAATTTCACTATGATGCAGATAAGTTCCCTGAAATAAAGAACCATTAAATCATCATCTGATGACAACTGCCTAGTCTCAGACATTAAGGGTTCATACATACAAGACATGAGAAAACAATATAATTTTTGGAGCTAATCCAGTTGATAACAAATGAACAGATATTCACTCAATAGGCTGTTAAATAGCTAATTCTTGTTATATCTTAAGTTCTAAGTTCTAACATGAGAGAAGCATAAGAATTATTGACACACTGACATCAACAGAGCGCATTAGAATTTCTAAAATTTTCAAAAATTTGAGGATTGATGTGATGGTTTAACCTTACAGTTTTTTCTCCTACTGTTCGTCCTTTTGCGATTTCAACATAAAATCCAACAGCAGTTTCTGCTTTTTCCATTTGTATAATATAAACAGTGCAAACGCTCACCTAAGCACCTACAAATAGGCGCTGCTAACATCTATCATCCAGTAGTCATAGGACACCATCCAACAGCTTCAATGATTAAAAAGGTAAATATATATTAACTTTGCAGGTGTTAGCAGGTGTTGGATTGAACCCAACCCCTGCTGTATTGAATCCCAATACCTGCCGGATAATAAGCACTCGACGATGCATTCCATAGAAATGAATCTCATAAGAAGTTTCAACTAAATTTAAATTTGAAAGATAAAAATAATAAAAATAAAAGTAAAAATCTACTTTAATGTGCGTTTAAAATTTTTAGCAATACTGATGCTGCTCCACCTATTCTTCAGTGGACTTTCACTGGGAGTAACAGATTTCATTCTCTTACCAAATCACCAAAATGCTAAAAGCAAATTCGAGTAAAAAGGAAATGGAAGAAAACTCACCTTCACACGAAGTTCTTTCATCGGATGTGGTGTCAATAAAGCTCGAATTGAAGTAACAATAGGTCCCTAAAAGAGACAAAAAGAAAATGATATCAATAATGGCAATCACATGTAAACTTCTTCACATGCTGACTGCACCAGTTGTAAAATAAATAATCACAATATTTTGTAAAAATTATAAGTCACAATTTACTAAATTGTCTTGTGAAAAATGGTTTTAGATACTTGCCTGCATGCCGCAAACAACTATTTGATCTCCTTCATGAAGCACACCATTAACCAATACAACATCAATTGTTGTCCCAAGGCCTTCAATAACTTTAACCTCCAAAACCGTACACTGGTGCACAAGATCAACCCCCCACCAAATTACTCACATTTCAACTGTTATAAAAACCTTTACATTTCTGGAAAAAAGGTCAAAAGAAATCAAACCTGCACTTCATTGCTGTAAGTAAGTTTCTCAACCATAGTTTTCTGGGTCCATTGAACCAACAGTAATAGCATATCTGGAATCCCTTCACCACTGCAATATTCACAACCCAAATTTCAGGACATATAGAAAAGATACTTACAAAAATAACCTTCAAAGTGGAGACTAAGAAGAAAGACAAGGCCAGATTCCACAAGCCATACCTAATGGCACTTGTAGGTATAATACTGTATGTTTCCCCCATTTCTTTATTCTTATAATACAATTCAGTATTTAACCCCTGCTCCTTGAATTGAGTGATAATCTGGCAACCCATACAAGAACTGAAAGTTTTTAATACCAAGAAAATCAAATTAAATAAAGTGACACAAAAAGACAAGGTTGGAATATACAGGACCTGTACGAGCCTCATATTGAACTCATTTTGCACATCCTTAGTTTGTTGCTTCATTGTCTTAACAATTGGTGCATTGCGGCAGGTTTTCCACCCATAGAGTCTGTCCACCTAAAAATTGGACATTCAAGAAAAGCAAAAACTAATTAAACATTGACAATAAGACACTAGTAGGGATCCAGAGGGTGGATTTAACCATAAAGCTCACCTTGTTCAATGCAACAATGAATTCCGTATTCCTCATTTTCAAAAGATTGAGTGACTCTATTGTTTGAGGCTCTAAGCCATGCATGATGTCAACAACCAAAATAGCAATATCACATAAACCTGAACCCCGTGACCGCAAATTAGTGAACGACTCGTGCCCAGGGGTATCAATTACCAATAAACCTGGGACCTTCAGCTTTGCATCAGCTTTCAGTTCCTTAGTTCTCTCAGTAATACCTCCAGCCTCACCTTCCTGAACATTTGTGCCTCGGATACAATCCAGCAGCTTAGTTTTACCAGTATCAACATGGCCCATAATACAGCAAATAGGAGAACGAAGGTTATCTTCACCCTCTTTAGTGGCAGAATCTGAACTTGGTGCTTCTTTTTTAGCAGTAGCCTCTTTCTTCCTACTTCTATCAGCATCAATCTCAGGTTGCTTTTTCTTATTCTCAGCATCCTGAGATTTTATTGGTTGAGAAGGAATGCTTCTCTGGGCATAAACTGCCAACTTGGAACCTGCACTCTTTATGTCTTTTTTCACGACAGGTTCAGGCTCAGAGTCAACCTCTTCATCAGAAAATCCACTTTTAAGAGAAAGGTTAACAACAGCATCATCCCAGCTCTTTGCATCCCATTCTTCATCATCATCTTCTTCTTCTTCTTCGACTCCATTCTCTTTAACAGATTCAGCAACTTCAGATTTGTCCTCTAGGTCCACTGATTCTACCTCTTCAACCTTGTCAAATTCCACAGAGTACAGCTCAGGAACGGTGTCTTGCTGGTTTTCCTCTTCTTCTATGCTTTCCACTGGGTTCACATGAGCCACACCATTTGCATGATTGGGTACTGCTTTTGACTTCTTTTTCTGATACAAAGGTCGTTTAGCTTTTTTCTCATTGTCTGTGGTAGGGAGAGGCAAACTCCCTGATGCATTAGCTGCATTAGCAAGTATCTGGTTTCTCATTGCCTCCAGCCGACGGGCTTCTTCTTTTTGCTTTGAACTTAAAAGCTTGCCTTCCTGTCTCTTCTTTTGTAGCTTCTCCTTTTCTCTTTCTTTTTTCTTACGCCTGGCCTCTTCCTTTTGCCTTTCAAGTTCTTCCAGCCTAAGCCTCTCCTCTTCTTCTTTCCTCCGTTTCTCCTCTTCTTCCCTTTGCTTCCTCTCTTCCTGCTCCTTCCTCCTCGCAAGGGCCTCTTGCATCTCCCTAACATGCTTTGGCACTTTCTTGTCTGCTGCTTTACCTTTCACTTCATTCTTCTTGGATTCTTTAGGTTCAATTTTTTTTTCTTCTTGTTTTTCATCCTCAATGGCCACAGAAGCAGTAGCAGTCCCTGCAGCCGCTGCTGCAGCTGCTGCCTTTTTCTCCTTTTCCTTGTCCTTCTTCTTTTTCTTCTTCTTCGAAGCAGCAGACTCCACAGTCTCTTCTTCACCTTCCTTTTCACCTGAACCATCAACCGGGGCGACTATATCAGATTGAACCTCAACTTTCTCCTCTTGCATAGGAGCAGCAGCAGGTTTCGATGCAAAAGACCCCTCACCTAGCTCAGCAAGAATCATATCCAAATCATCCTCTTCCTGAGCAGTCCTTCCACTTTTCTTCTTCTTTTTCTTACTTTTTGAAGTTTCTGGAACCTCTTTACTCTTGTTAACTTTAGCATCGTCAGCTTCAATTTTACTAGTTTCCTTACTTGGTTGTTCTGGTTCAACTACATCTGTATTTTCAGCCCCAACCTTAGTTTCTTCACTCGATGCAGTAATAACACTATTACCTTTCTTTTTGGAAGACTTCTTCTTACCTGTGAATGCAATCACAGATGCATCTTCGTCCTCAACTCCGTCATCACCAACTCTAGTTGATTCGGATACAGAAGTATTTTCATCATTTCCCTCGTCAAGCAATGCTGCGCTAAAAGCATTACCACCACTCTTCTTTGAAGCCTTTGATGACTTCTTTTTCTTGCCGGAGAAAGTAATCTGAGGAACATCATCGTCCGCATCTTTCTCTTCATCCTTATCCTCATCCGCATCATCGAGGGCATCGAAGCTAGCTGCTGCAAACACACTCCCCACCTTCCTTCCACCCTTGGACGGCTTCTTCTTCCCCGTAAACGCAATTACAGGCTCATTTTCATCATCTTCTTTACTCTTATCCTCAGAATCATCAACAACCTCACCATCACTATCGCCCTCATCACCAATGACATCAAAAGCTGACCCTGTAAACAGACTACCAGCAGTTTTCTTTGACGATTTAGAAGCCTTCTTCTTGCCCGAAAAACTCACCACCGGAGCATCCTCCTCCTCGTCCCCTGTCAACCCAGATTTCTCATCATCCTCAACACCCTCATCTTCATCACCAAGCAACCCAAAACTTGAAGTGCTAAACACACTATTCCCACCACTCTTCTTGGACTTTCCCTTCTTCTTTCCAGTGAAAGCGACTTGGGGAACCTCATCATCACCCTCGTCCACCTTTCCCACATCGTCTAAGTCCTCATCCCTGCGCTGTGAAGCTTTTGAATTTCCCTTTTTGCCCTTCTTTCCAGTAACAGCAACTTTCTCTTCTTGGACTTGAGACTCCTCGGACAGCTCAGTTCCGATTGAATACTCATCATCTTCAATTACCAGCGCCTTCTTCTTCGATTTCGACCCTGCAGGTTGCGGGTTCTCTTCGTCGCGAGTAGTCGGCTTCTTCCGACCCATCGAGGTTTCGACTAATTATACAATCTTTTGGAACAATTGAAACGAAGCCCCTCCAAAATCCTAAATTTCAAAATCAATAAACACAATCAAGAAAAAAAGATACAGAAATGTATTTGTTTATGTATGTTTCAGAAGCTAAAGAATTAGATCTAAATTTATAAAATCAGAAAGCAGTAACCGCAAGAATCATTTCAGAAAAGTCAAAAAGAATCTGATCATATTTATAAGAAAAAACACACGCATATATCATACATATATATGTATATATGTATATTATATATTAGAGAAAGAGAGCTCACTTGAGGCGGTGAGGAGAAAGCACAAGCAATAGAACCGAGGGGTTGCAGAAGAAAATGACTGTTCGAATGGATTGGAATTACAGGGAAGAAGACTGAGCGAGCTTCAGAGAGAGAGAGCAACAAAAACAAACGTGTTCTCTTTTAAAGTTTCTAGGGTTGGGTTGGGTAGGCTTGGATTTCTTGGAGAGGAAAGGTGGTTCTGGGCTTTCGTATAATTTTCCAGGACCTTGGGCCTTTGTCCAAAAAATATTTTTAAGAGAATAATGGATTTTGAAGACAATTTTTACTTTACTGCTCGGAATTTTTACCTTCATTACCTACACTGTTTTTTTTGGCACTTTCATACACAAAGTTTACACTCTTGTCGTAAAGAGAACCGAAGTCGTGGCATACCACAAATTATTTAAAAATAATAAAATGAATTATTAGAAATGATTAAAAATTTCATTTATTAACATGTATTGTATCAATATTTTTAGGGAGTTTCACTAAAACACCCAAAATGGAGGTTGAAATTATAAAAAAACCCAACACCCAAAACACTTTATAAACACACCCAAAACCCATCATTACACACACTCAAAACCCATTTATAAACACACCCAAAAAGTTGACTTTGGGGTTAATTTTGGGTGTGTTTCTATGTTTAAATAGTGCTTGGGTTTTTTTATAAATACATGTCTAGGATTGGGTTTATTTATAAATTTGTAATATTTTTATGGTATTGTATAATAGGCTTTAGAAATAACGGAAGCTTTATTTATACTAGCCCGTTTTATTTTTTATTTTTTATTTTAGTTTAATCGACAAGGGGCCCAACTGCCCAAGAAGAAAACAAACAATTCATCAAGTTCCATCCAGCCTTATGACGAAGGGGCCTCTTGCCTTACATTAGAGCACTTCCAGCAGTTTGTCATTTGCCATGGCAAGAGGAGGGCTAGGGCAGCTACCATTCACGTGAATAGTGGCTGCCTTTTCAAAAGGTTGTGGTATTTCTACCAATTATCATGCCAACAACTATTCACATGAGATATGAGGTGAGAAATTTGTATAGAGTTTTGGTGTGAGAAGTGAAAACTATGACTAAGTATTTATTTCTTTAAAAATCTGATTTTTTTTGCATTTTGTTTAGATTTTTTTTTTTTTTTGGTCGCTGACGTCAGCAACCCCCGGCTTGAACTAGGGTTGATCTTGCCCGAGGGCTGGCTTGGTTTCGTGGGCTCCACCTCCTGCTAGGGCTAGCCCTTGCTGCTGGAAACGTTTTTTTGGCCCAAACCCCCCCAGCCTGAACGCAGCCTTAGTTGCTGGAAGTGCCCTTAGCTTTGTTGCATTCCAAGACTGCTTCTTCTTTTTTTCTTTTTTTTTTCACAACTAAAAGCATTCCAATGCAGCTTTAGTAATTATATTTACAGGGGAAAGCTGGATAATATTTTCGGCTGTAACAGCAAACAAAACATTTTCAGGTGTCAAAATTTTTGCAACAAAACCATTAGCTCCGTCAAGTACCAAATCAATCGACAATTGTCAGGCACCGGTATATATCAACAATTGGCTAGCAATAGCCTTCCACGCACTCATTAACGACTAACAGTCATACACGCGCATGTAGCGACTCCCTCAACTGTCATTAGCAAAATTCTCAAGTCCAAAGTGGAATGCTAATCGCCATGCTATTGGAACTTGGACTCAATACTAATAGTCTAACAGGTTGCATAGGGCACCTATAATACACGATGTAAATTGATGGTAAAGTTAATAGTAGTTGTTTGGGCCAAAAATTGACACACCCAGCCCAGCGAAAATTAGGCCCAGAATAAAGCTGCAAAAAATCAAAGAAAGATGGAAGCCCAAAAAAGACCAGCCCAAGGCTCATCAGAGCAAACAAGGCAATAGGAAGAGGGAGTCCAGAAATAGGAACAATCCCACGTGACATCTCTGGGATAAAGAAAAGTCAGCAATGGCAACTGTCATAGAAGAAGTGATTGAAGGGTTCATGACATGAAATTGATTCTGAAAAAACTGAAGATCAAATCCCATTCATGACATCAAGTTGATTTTGAAAAAACTGAAGATCAAATCCCTCTTACGTATATATATGTATATTCTGAGATTTTTTCTTCTGTCTTTACAGAGAAGGTAATTCTCCCAAGGAGATAAGCAAGTTACAATCTCTGAGAATCCCAAGGAGATAAGCAAGTTACAATCTCAGAGAGGGATAAGCAGGAAAGCAGGGAGCTGTCCAGAAAAGGAATCAAACTAACCATCACTGGTAAAATATCACAAGGGGCAGTAGAAATTGGGAAAGAGATTAGGTTCCTTTTCAAGAAAATCAGGGAAGTGATTGCCTATCTGAGAGCCTATCTGCCAAAACTGAAGAAGAAGAGGAAAAGGGGGGAAATATCTTTGCCGCCCAATAAATAAACACAATCACCCTACTCCAGAGAAGAAACAGTTTACTATAAATACAAGAAGGAGCGAACAGGGTAAAACACACAAAAACAACACAACAAAAAAACACACAACACAAACAACAACAAATTTGGTTTAGCAAAAAACCAAGACAGGTAGAGCTTGAGCTTTTCCCAAACATGAAAACCTCAACAAATTTTACAGTGCAGTCTCTAGCCCACTGAAGTCCTCGAGAACAGCCACTTCTGCCCTTACAGACTGAAGAAGCCGCAGTTCTGCCCACTCAGAAGCTTCACAAAAGCTTAAGGTACATTGAAGCTCTGCCAGAATCAACCTTTGGTATCGATTTATAGTTGAAGCTTAGCAGTCAAGGTTGTCAACGGTCCAGTCCAGCCCAAGCGTCTCCAGTCCAGCCCGGACATTTCCAGTCCAGCCCAGAACAGAACCTTCCATCTCGACAGAAATGGAGTTCCAGCTGTATCTTCATCTCTCTAGCATGAGTATTTATTGTTATAGTTTTGTAAAAGGCAGTTCTGCCTAAAAACAGTTTAAATTCCATCAACCATTCTGGCCAGAACAACCTCTTTATACTGAGATAAATTGTTAAAGTCCTCACCAGTCTGAGGCAAGAAAAGAACTTACTTGGGAGATATTCCTCACCCAAATTCACAATCGTTTGTTTGCAGAAATCAGTAACTTGGGGCGCAAGTTATCCATTCCAAACTAAGTCTGCTAGAATTTTTATTACTAGCAGTGGCACGCTCGCACACCAAAGAAAGCTGACTTGTTGACCAGTCTATAATTCTCAAGGCAGTGGGGAACTTTGCCCTTCCATCATAGGAGTAAACGCAAAACGGGCAAAAGTAGTATAACAATAATTTAATAAGGTTAATCGTTCTCGTGGTTCTTCAACTTCAGCTTCTTTAGGATAAATGGTCATGCCGTCAATTTTGTTAACTTGTCTGTTAAATGCAGGGGCAAAATGGCACAGGGGTAACATTATCTGTCTTTTCCTTACAGTTGTCCAAGCTCATTCGTTAGGCTGCTGGAACAAAAAGACCCCTATAGCCATCACCTTCATTACCGTGTCCTCCTGGTACTAAATTGCTTGCAAGGAATATTTTAATTTTTTGTTTTTTTGTTTTTTTGTTTTTTTGTTTTTTTGTTTTTTTGTTTTGTTTTTATTATTATTGGGCATTTTAGTTTTTAATTTTTAATTTTTAATTTTTTGATTTTTTATAATATTCTATAGATTTTATTAATTTATTAATATTATAGTATAAATTGACAATTTTAACCCTCAAATTAATGGCAATATTGAAGTAGTGTAATAATAGGACCAATGCACCGAATAATAAAGAGTTTGTGGACTATTTGAATAAATAATTTAGTTGAGGAATCAAAATACAACTCGGGTATAAGTTTGAGAACCTTCGAGTTAAAAACCCTTTTCTTTTTATTCTAATTCAACACCTCTCAACATCTTAACCATGTCGCTGAAACCAATAACAACGAACATCAGAGCACGAGTTCAAAAACAATATCCACCGTAAAACAGTAACGATTAATGGATGCGAGACCCTAAAACCGCCACTCAGCTACTTGAGTGCTCCAAATAACTTCGGCGCAACCTACACGCCATAAGGCAATGATCAACACATGAGACTGAACAAATTTAATACAACATAATGAATTAAAATGAAAACTTACACATTTGTCAACACAAGATATGTAATCAAAGTATTGGCCTGTACAATGCTTCTCGCCATTGTTATCAGCTTCAACCCTCTTAACACATGCCTACAATAAATAAAAAAGTTGAACAATCTCAGTACAAATACGAAATTACATTCATTCAAACCAAATGTGAACAATCTCAAGAAAAGATTCAAATTTTGATTTTATTACTCAACAATTATGGCAGGAGGGAACGGGGGTGCAAAAAAGTAGAAATATAGACAAAAAGGAAAGCCATATGCATCCACAACTTTTAAGGTTGAACTATAACTGATGCCCAGCAGTAGTAGCTGCCTAATCATCTACTCTTTTGTAAGTAAAAAGATTCAAGCAGTCTATTAAATCTAGCCCAATAGTTCAAGTAGGGGAAATTCGATTGAGACCCAACAGTTCGCGAGGTTAGGAGTCATTCTGCTGGTTTTAAACTGCTGCATTTAATACATAACTGTGGTATTGGAAATGGCATTATATTCATCGAGCTACATACAACAGAATATGTACCTACAGTGTAAGATTTGTTCTCCATAGCAAGTCCATATTTCAACAGATTCAAGTGCAACAGATTTTGATTGAGACTTCATAGTCTGTGTAACACTTCTTCCAAAATAAATAATAAAAATAAAAATCCCAGTAAGTATATGTTCTATAATTTTTCCCTGTTCTTAGCCCGTTCTATAATTCCAGTAAGTATATGGTCAAGTGGGAAATCTTGGAGTAAACCAAGAAAGTAAAGGTAGAGAGCCGAATCTTGATATTGTCTAGGCAAGCGTCCAATACTAAGAGTAGTAGTTATGAACCTTCTAAGCCAACCCAACAATCCCATTAAAATATGTCAAAAGAGCTTGCTTAATCACTTTAGTATGACATCCTGAATCCTGATCTTCTGATGCTCTTATTTTGTGCTATAACCTTTGTACAATTACTCTCTATAATGTTCTGCACGGCGTACCCAACTTCATAACTTGATATTACAAAATTTCACATTTGATGATATATATGATTTCCAAATTATTTCCTCTTATGGAAAAACATAGAGAACGCATTCTAACTTGTTGGACCATGCAAATATATGTTTCCAACTTCCAAGATTTCATAGGAGAATTAATTTTGGGAGCTTTTCTAGGTTGTAATTCCCTCTACCTCTCTAGTAGGGAGCATGGATATGGATAAAACACACAGGTACAACAAAGACCAATAAGTTGATACGACTCTCTCTCTAGTAATTTGATTTAAAAAAACTATCTGATCCAATTATATTAACAGCATCTAAAATTAACCTAGGAAATAAATTTCATTACCTGATATTCAATCAGAGGCTTCACACATTTAGGCTGGCAAGACTCCTCAAGATACTTCTTCTGATCAACGAGTTCTTCATCCGCCCTTAGTAGATAAAATGAAAAGATCGATGAGAGAAAGAGAAAAGCTTTAGGTTTCAATTCAAAGAGAAAGAGAAAATCAATATGAAAATTTGGTGTTTTGACCCCTTGATACACAATGTTCGTGTCGACATTTCAATTTCTCCATGCCTAACATTCATGTGAAAAAGCAAAATGTGAAAACCCACAAAGATTAATAAACCCAGAGATACTCACATAGAAATGAATCAAAAAGCTCTCCAATTGCCTGCACAGAAATATAAATAAATAAAATCGATAAAAAAACACATTGAAAGTTTAGTTTGATTTTTGGAGGCGAAAAAGAAGAAGAAGTGTACCTTCTGATTCGAAGAGAAAGATCAGCTCCTGAGTCGCAGAAGAGAGAGAGAGAGAGAGAGAGAATGTGTGTGGGGAAATGGGGAACTTGGAAGTTTGGAACAACTACGATTATGATGGTGGACCGGACCGGAAATTGCGGAGCTGTTGAATGGATCTCTCAGGACAGATCAAGTACAGACAAAATCAAGCCTTTTTAATTTTCTTTTGGGCTTCGGTCCAGGCATATTACCACGATTTACCAATCATGCTCAAACACAACATTTGTTATTTTATCACTATCCTCTTTACACGCGCTTCTGCACCTACGAAATGCTGTTTTTAAAAAAATTTAAATTTATTTTAGAATTAAAAAAGATAATGGGTAGTTGTGTTTCATAAAAATAGAATTAATTTTCTGATTTTTCTTTTTATTTTTTTTAATATGGAAAAAAAATGTGAATTTACTATATTATCCTCATTTAATTAACAATTTCAATTCTTAATGTTTGCATTAATTAATGACATTTTTTGGTATTTTGAATGTTTCACCATTCTCTTCCTTTTGCTTTATATATATATATTATATATATATATAATTATTGGAGCAAATAGCTAAGAACACCTCACTAAGAATTGAGAGAGACTTAAAAAGAGATGAAGCGGACATGGCACGAGAGTAGAGGTGTCAAACGGGCCGTGCCGGCCCAGCCAGGCCCATTTAAACTCGTGCCTTTAATGTATTCGTGTCGTGCCGGGCCAGCCCATTTAATTTATCGGGCCGTGCCGTGCTAGCCCATTTAGTAAAATCATTGATCCCAGCTCAGTCCAAAACCCAAGTCCATATCGAAACGGGCCGTGCTGTGCTTGGGCCGAGCCCGTGCTGTGCTTGGGCCGAGCCCGTGCTCGTGCTCGAGTCATACTCGGGCCCAAGAATAGGCCCATTTAATTTGAATTTTTTTTTACTTGATATTTTTTTTTAAACTTTCATGAAAAATCAACTAACATATAATTGACTTCCCAAAATATGAGGATCTACCATTCACACCCAAATCAGTAGTAGTTATAAAATAATGATAAAAGAAAGCGATACAAGCACAAGTAACATAGTTGTGACAAATCAGTTTTTCCCCCAGCAGAGTGTTTGCGTTGTCTTAAAACATTTACCCAGCATATCATGTTCAACACACTTTTCTTAAGAACCACAGCAAAATGGCAGCTTGAGCAGCCCCGGCTCCCTGATCTGGTTGGTTAATCCTGATTGTCCGAGGCTGCCAAAATTCAAAAAAAGTAAAGACTCAGTATATATCAGACTAGAAGATGAAAGATGGGATTTAATCAAACGGTTGGCAACCAACTCAATTGGTATCAAGAATCGATGCTCAATAATTTTCAAAGAAAGCAAATTTGAAACATTGTAAGAGGATGGATTTGGACCAGAGGCCAACACTTTAGTGGGTGACTACCAACTGGTATATGCCCCCACCACATAGTTTGATATTAAATTATTGAACAGAAATAGTTTCTTTAAGCCAGAAGAGAGAAAAACAAAGGGGAATGAAATAGGGCTCCAACGTACGGCAGAGAAAAAGATCAGGAAAAAAAAAAAAAAATTGTATATTTTCGGATGTTAAATTAAAAAGATCGGACAGACACCAATAATTTGGTTATACACAGGAAACAAAGCTACATATGTATCAGGAGGGAAAGACAGTGATATAAGTGACATGAACCATTAAAATAATCATACCTCAGCCCTCGAGTGAATATCGGCGAGTCTTTGCTTAATATCACTTAAGTCTGTTTGGTAAGTCATCGGTCATTGCATCAATTTTTATTATTATTTCTTTTCTTTTCTTTACTTGCTGTTCCAACTTGGTAGTGAAAAAATGCAGTAGATGCTTGAAGCGGGCTTGGGTCCGTGTTGTGCTTGGAGCGGGCTCGGGCTCGTGCTGTATTTGGATCGAGCTCGGGCCAAGCCCGTTTCATGTCGGGCCGCGGGCTGGCCCAGTCCATTGGACCTTTTTTTTAATCCCGGCTCGGTCCAAGATTTCGTGTCGTGCCAAGCATGGCCCACTAATGTTCGTGCTCATGCCTAATTTAAATGGGCTGGGCTCGTGCCATGCTGGGCCGGCCGGTCCCGTTTGACACCTCTACACGAGAGGAAGCATTTGTTATTCAACAGCAGTAGGCACAAGAAAAAGACATGGATGATAGAGAGATGAAAATCATGACCATAGATACGAACCATATGTCTCCTGAAACAAATGCCTATTGGAAGAATAGATGAAGGGATGTGATGAGAAGAAAATTTTTCCATGACGACGGACCTAGCAATACGGATTGGTTAAATGATGAAAACCATTAGGTTGTATTGAAACACCTTTGCCATATGTTGTATTGTTGTATTATCCTTTAATTTGCTGTATTGTTTCCTTTTTATTCAATAAAAAAAACATTAAATAATATGACTATTTATTAAAAATATTTGAGCATCAAAACAAAGATTAATTAAAAACAAACCTTAATTTATTGCAAACAACACACAAAACAAACCATACATAAAAGCATAATAACAAAAAAAAACATAATTTCAAAAAACACCACACATAAAATAAAGCATAATTAAAAACAAAGCATAATTCCAAACAAAGCATTAATCTTGACTTCATCTATTGTGATTGCCTTTGATCTCCCACAAGTGCTCGATCAAGTCAACTTGACGTCTCTTGTGAATATATGAAGATTGCATTTCTTGATAACGATCAATCATGGGGTTGTTGAATCGACCATCCCGAAGTAACGGTTTGTGCTCCATTGGTAGTCCATTTGGTCCCATCGGCCTTTCATATATTCTTGTCAACGTCGTGTTCATAGGATCGGGTTCAAACATCTCTGGAGCATCGTAGTCATACTCATCCTCGACAATCATGTTGTGGAGGATTATGCAAGTCATCATAATACTCCGCAGCACCTCCTCATCTAGCATCCGAGTAGCACCCCTAATAATTGCCCAACGAGCTTGCAAGATACCGAAACACTTTTCCACGTCTTTCCTATAACCTTCTTGAAAGGAAACAAAGCTTCTTTCCTTCTCAGATTGGGGATTTGGAATTGTTTTCACGAATGTCTTCCACCTAGAATAAATTTTGTCGGCAAGGTAGTACGCACCAGAGTATACGGTATTGTTGATTTGGTACGTGACCTGAGGGGAATGACCTCGCAATACCTCGTCAAACACCGGGGATTGACCAAGGACATTGAGGTTATTCTGAGATCCGGCAACCCCGATGAAGGCATGCCAAACCCAACAGTCGAATGAAGCTACGGCCTCCAAAATTATACTTTTTTTACCCTTCCAATTCCCGTACTCCCCTTGCCAAGTAGTAGGACAGTTCTTCCACTGCCAGTGCATGCAATCAATGCTTCCAATCATTCTTGGGAAATCTCGAGCTTCACCTTTTTGTAGAAGCCTTTAGAGGTCCCTCGGCGTGGGTTTGTGAAGGTACTCCCTCGTGTACAAATTTTCCACTGCATCATAGAATCTCACCAAGCACTCTAGGATAGTAGACTTTTTCATCCTTGCAATCTCATCCACCTGCTCTGCAGATGCCCCATAAGCAAGCATTCGCAAAGCAACTGTAAGTTTTTGCTCCGGGATAAGACCTAAAACTCCAACAGCATCATGCTTTTGAATGAAGTATGTGTCGTAATTACAAATATCATGCATGATTTTTTGGAACAAATGTGGCTGTATTCTATATCTCTCTCGAAACTTAGAAACATAATATAACGAATTTGGGATAAAGTAATCCTCCAAGATATTCTTACCCCGAGACTCCCTACATCTGTCCACATTCAGGGCACGACGACGACGGTATTGCCTTGATTGATTAAGCATACACACCATTGCTGCAAGCATTTGTTCCTCTTCTTCATCGGCGTCCCAATCTTATTCAGCACGTTTACGCCGGATTTCTTCCCTTTCTTTCTATTGCCTCTCCAACACCCTCCTCAAGTTTGACATTGAGAGTAAAATGTGTTTTGTAAAATCCGAGAAATGAAGGAATAGATAAGAGATGGTATGGGAGGTATGAGCTGATGGTGTAGTTTTATAGAGGGATTCAGAAGATAGAGATGGCACGTGACATAATTTTATAGGGTGAAAATCTTATCTGAAATATGAGATTATAATTTTTAAAAAATATCTGAAAATCTTATCTGACATGGGACACGTGCACAATTTTAGATGGTGAAAATCTTATCTGAAATATGAGATTATAATTTTTTTTAATGAATATCCGAAAATTTTATCTAGAGTAAGACACGTGGCAACCAAGATTCTCATCCGAAAATTTTTTTTGAAAAATAATGGACACGTGACAACCAAAAGTCTTATCCGAAAATTTAATTACAAAAGATTATCAAAATTAATGGTTTAAAGTATAAAAAAATAGGAAATAAAGTACAATAAATAGTATTTGCCTTAGACTTGCCCTAGACTTAGCCCTCATGAGTGGAACCACAAATGACAAGGATGACACTATTCATGTGAATAGTGGCAGCCCTTGCTTGCCATTGCCCTAAACTTAGCCCTTATGGGTGGAGATACTCTAAGGAAGGAAAACAAAACCCAAATTGGAAGGAGTGCTTCACTTTCCCCTCTATATTCATGGTGGCCTGTTAATTTCAATAACTATTGAAATGTGAAGAATTTCAAGGAAAATGAATTTTATTACAACCACCAAAAAATTACAATTATGTTGCATTTTATTCCCTGAATCAAAACCTTGCCCCTCATTTCGGCTTTGTTGTCTACTTTCCCAGGCCTTGAAGCAGCTTCATAATTCAAAGCTGAACTCTTCTCTGCCCTTACCATGGCCACTAAGGAAGACCAAGCTTCCTCGGGTTGCTGCTCGTAGACCGAACACATGATGAAATAAATCTTCCTCTCAGCCATCTTGAACTTACTCCTTATTTCAACTCTTCTCAACTTTCATGATTTCTCGGGTTTCACATCCCTCTTCCAGCCTGAAACCATCATCTGCAGATCACAAACCCTTCTTCTCAACTTTCATGATTTCTCGGATTTCACTTCCCTCTCCCCAGGCTTATTACATCATCTATGAGACCATGTCCCAATTGCAAGTCACCCATCCATCTAAAAGCTGGAGAGCAGATCTGCTCCAGGTAATAAGACAGAGCTTCCAGGACAGCCCCTGGTTACCCACTTGACCCATTTCAGAGGACACATTGCACCACCATGGCTTGACCCTACGGCATCTGATTTCCAATTTCCACAGTAAAGACGAGTGTGAAACAGCCAAGGGTAGTGATGGCTTTGTGGAGCTAAGATTGCTCACTGGAGGCACTGCGGAGTCAGGCCCAAGGTGGGTATGATGTTGTGTGATAGAGTATATTAAGGTGCATCATGAGTATTTTTTGGTAGTTAAAGAGGTATACTTAGTTAATTTTACATTTCGATTTTAATATTATAGTGTACTCAGTTAATATTAAGGTTCATTTAGTAGCACTTTTTTACAGTTGAAAATTTATTTTGATCTTTTTTTATGTGCTTTTCATCAACCACCAGGAGAAGGATGATTTTTTTTGTTTAATAATTTTAATGTTACATTTCATAATTAATTTATAAGTATTTTAACTTGATTAATGAATTACTCTTAATAATAAAATATAAAAATGCATTCATTTATGAAAAGCAATAAATAAATCAACACCAAGATAATAAAATAATTTTAATTTGACATATTGATAGCGTGTAAAATTGTGCAAAATATCAGATTGTCACATCAACCATCAAATTTAAATTGAGAGATTCATTATTATACCCAATTTAGAGTTTAGTATTTGACATCTCCTTGGAGAATTGTGTTGCATTCTATAGCCTAGTACATCAAATGCATTAAAACTCTATGCAAATTTTAAATCCAACTTGGTCGTGCTAATTAGCACCACTACCGATAAGAAGAACAAACACAACGTCCTTCGCCTAAAAGGATATCCTATGCCTTCTATGAAACGACCTGACTCAATTTTCACTTTGGAATCCGAGTCGAAACCTGTTTAAAACTGACACCTAGTAACCGTGGGTCGTAAATGACCAAAATGCCCTGAAAACAGTAACATAAACCCTAAGCCCCTAACTCGTGGCTGCGCCTAATAACTGTAGGCTGCCTACGTACCCTTACTGAGGGATCAAGCCACACGTAGTTCTTTCCTCTGTTCCTGACCTGTAACTGGTTGTTTTATTGTAAACCTCACTCTAGGGCTGACATTTCTAGAGTATCCGAGACTCCGTTTTACGATCCGTCAAATGCTATACGATCTTGAAATTACCTAGGTCAACATATCCGAAAATGGTTACAATCCAACGGTTCGAAACTATTGAACCTGGAAATCACACAATATGCGAGATCCGTTCGGGGTTCAAACGTTAACCAAATTGAGATCAGCGACTTCCTACACGCTCGTGACAACCCAAGGATCATTCTAAAACTGAAAGCGGTCTCTACCAATCTGCCCATGTGCCGCCACACGCGCCGACAGCGCGTGGGTAGCTTGATCAATTCCTGGCGGTCTGAAAAACTCTAAACTACGGGCCCAAACTCCTAACTTAGGTAAAATACCTCATTTGGAACAACTTTTGTTTGGACATACCCCAAAAAGTGGCAGGAACTAGCCGAAACAGTGACCCGAAAATCTGCTGAAACCTAACTTAAACAATCGAATGATCTACGGTTGAAATCTCTGAAATCCTACCCAACCAGCAGCTAGAACATGAAAAATAGCTAGAAAACCATACCTCCCTCGTCCGATAAGCTCCCGAAAGTTTGCTAAAAAACTGTCTACCACCGCCTGTTTCGTGGCTGATTCCGTCGACCACACCTGCGGATCACGGCTGGGATGAGTTGAGACTGAAAGAAGGGAGTGAGGTGGTTTGTTTGGCACTGGTCTTGTTCAATTTGGTGGTCGGAGCTGAGAGAAATCCTCTCCTAAAGTCGGCTGCTCGAACTCTAGAGAGAGAAAAAATCTGGGTTTTTCTGGATTTTAAAAACTGAACTTTGAAATATTTACGATTATGCCACTGAACATTTTTTAATCGTAACTCCTTCGTTACAACTCCGATTTGAGTCCACTACGTATCTAAGGACTCATCTCGCTGCGCTCTACGCAACGGTATAACTGAAATCTCAAAATTCATTCCTGGTCAAAAAGTCAACTTTTAAACTAATAAAATATTCTAGGGGTATAGTGGTCTTTTATTGGAATAAATTAATAATTAAATATTAATTAAGGACTGAGTTGTTATATCCTATGCCTATCTTCCAACATTTGTGGAAATATCAAAGTGAGAGTAGAGAGAAATGGAGCCAAATCTCATTATCCGTCTAGTTGACACCAGTTTTAGCCTCATTTTGGATTATTAATTTTCATTTCTTATATCTAAAATGGTCACAAGGAGCAAAGTAACAACCTAAAAATAGAAACAAACAGCCAAAAACTTTTCATAAGACGGTTTGCCATCGATAGAGCAAAAATGAAAAATAAAACATAGTCATGTCTCTTGAAGTTTCCTTCAAGTATATGTATTTTATCATCAGCAAAACAAGGGATAAGATGCTTTTCTGGACATTTCGCTAGCTTCTTCCCTGTCGATTTTCAGCTCTTTCCCGAGTTTTACCTGCCAACCCAGTAGGGTTTTGAAGAGGACACAACTAAGTTGGTTTGCCATGAAAATTTCAATATTACTCTTCAAAAGCGAGCTCACGTGCACCTAAAATACATTTTCCATCAACAGACTTGTAAGGTGGGTATTATAACCTATAGACTATGGGTGGCATTTTAGACCCAAAAACCGCAAAAACCAACACACTATTTACCGCAATGAAACCGCGATCACAGTAAACCGAACCGCATTTGCGGTTACGGTTGCGGTATTTGATTTTCAAAACTTACGATTACAGCAAACCGCAAAGTATAGCCAATCTATATTGTTTTATTTTATCTTCTTATAATTAAATGTACTAAACTGTGTTGTTTTATTTGTAGATAACATTGGTGCTCAAACAACACAACAGGATTCTTCAAATCCACTCACCTCCAACACTTGAATTTGTAACATTGATGCATTGCATTTTTCTTTTAGTTTGTAACTTTAATTAACTTTGAATTGGATTTTTCTTTTTAGTTGTAACTTCAATTCATTTTACTTTGCATTTTCCTTTTGGTTTGTAACTTTAAAGGATTTGGAATTGGAATGCTTGAGAAGTTTAACTTTAATTGAAATGCTTGGAATTGTAACTTTAATTTTCTTTAGGTTGTGAATGCTTGAAAAGTTGAGGAAATTGTGAATTTATATATGCTTGAAAAGTTGAGGTTGTGTATTTATTTATTTAGGTTGTGAATTTATATTTTTGTGAATGTTTGAGAACTTGCGGTTTTAAACCGCTAATTCGTGGTAACCGACCGCTTTTTGCGGTTTTAAAAATCACCATACCGCAAATAGTCGGTCGGTTTGCGGTTTGGACAAAAATTCGCGGTTACTGAACCGTAACCACCCCTACTATAGATACTAGAGTTTCCAAAAAGATACGGGACAAACAACGTAGTGTAGCCTAACATGATAAAAAAATCAGAACAGGCCCAGCTCTCGACTCTGGAAAAAGGACCTGATGGAAAAGCGAGCTGGAGCTACTTTTGCTCCCTCTCCACTCTCCACATATGGCATTTGAACTTGAGTGCCTAAACGTATTGGTGCCGCTTAAAGAACAAAAATCTTTCCACAAGGAATC